TACAGAACAAAATTGTTCATAAATCACCTACCTCAATAGATGAAGAATTTGAATCAATAAGGGAAATGGCTAACATAGAAGTAACAGATATGAATATTGATACTAGGACCTGTCAAATACATTCAGAAAGAAACGGTTACACTGCCAATCTTCAAGTGACATTCCCTAGAAATGTTACAGAACAGACAATACCAAAATTCTCATGGTTGTCGGGAACCAATGTAGATAGTCCAACGACAATTAAAATATTGCAGGCAATTAATAAAACAGCATATAGGAAGAAGAAGGAAGGCCATAGATGTCTCTTGCATTGTCTGAAAACATTAGCAACTTCCATAGATGAGGTAATTGTTTTATAAAAATTAACTATAACAAAGTATCTATCTATTAATGATATAGAGAAAATTTTGAAATTTAATTTATAGTGAAGACAGTAAAAATAGTTTCAAAATAATCCTTTAAAAACAGAGTTTTAAAGTTAAATATGAAGGATTTGATATATTTGAAGTCAGCAGGCGAAGGACTCAACTAAAATTGATATCATGAAAGATGTACAAAATACAAATCTTTGACTGTATTACTGACACAATATGTTTATTAATAAGTTATATAAATATTTGTTTAAAATTATTTTCTGTAGTTACAATGTTAAAAAGATATTAATTTTGATTATTAATTGTTAAATATTATACTTTCCGTAATAAAATCATAAATTCCCCAGATACCAATAAAATCAAGCGATGACTCCGATTCAATGAAATCAAGTCAACGAAGTCAATCGGAGAGTGAAAACGCTGGGGACTCGTGCATACCATTTCCCCGAACTTGTAGCGCCAAATGGTGTGGTGTCAGTACCCTGGTCGTTTTTAGTCGACCATCAAACGCTAGAAGACTGTCCTTAAAGCATGAGCTGGGTACTCCAAGGTCGATGTCATCCTTATCGCTCACTCCAGGCCTCTTTAGTGGAGGGTATACATCGATATCTCCTCATGCTACTACAACTCCCTCACCGACAAATGGACCAGGTTTTCCGCAGTTGCATCATCGACACGCGTCGAATTCTATCACGACATTTTATTTTCAGGACAGATGGGTAAGTTACACTTAATGAAAGGTGCTAATTATTTCTAGTTTTCAGTCTCGTCTTCAAATATACTAATAATATTATTAGGTCAGCGACTGATTTTAATCATAATTTTTTTATTGAGGGGAATGTATTACCGCACAGGGCACTCGTTTTAACAGCCCTACCCACTAAACCCCTCCCAATCACATCACTGTTGCGGTAACTTGGGGTCGCGATAGCATTCTATCAAGAGACCCCGTGACTAGCTGCTACGGCAACCATCTTCCATTACATTGACATCGTCTTACAAGTCTTTACAGTAGGTTTGCAATGTCTTGCACCCAACTCGTGCTTCGCCGACAAAAAATAATATAAGTTAGCAAATGCTAAAGAAATCTTTGTTGCTACCGATATTATATTCTTTAAAAAAATTCAAACTACTTAATATGGCGACGGAGGCCGACGGTTCGATTTCACTTTATTTATTTATTTTCCTTATTTCCTATTTTTAACATTAACTCAATACTAATACAATAGAAAACTAAACTAAAAACATAATATAAGCAAGTAAAAATATAATAAATAATGCAATTCTTGTGAATTCAGCCAATGTGCAACTAAATATATCCGTCTCACAAGCAATAGTGCTTAGGGTGCGCAAAACACGCGTAAATGGTGTTTCTCTGAGTAAGTTCGTCCGCGCCCGAGGCACTGCCAGCAATTGCGACCACTTACCACGCCGAGTGTGGTTATTTGGCACACGTAGCCCCAGTCTCTCCAACATTTCCGCATTATAGATTTTACCTATAAACATACCTTATAAAAAATAGTAACTGTTCTAATGTTATTTATTATCTTATGTGTACTGAAGAAAGGAATTCTAAATATTTCTGATGTGTATTCGTTATTACTGCTTATTTACAGAAAGCTCAAAGCCGTCGAGCAGGTAGTATGCGCAGTCGCGGTAGTATATCTGGAATGTGTTCGCCTAGAGTTGTATTATACTCCGGAGAACCATTATTCCATCTTAACCGAATACTGGCTGAAAAATATGTCATTAATTCTGACAATCCAGTTGGTAAGTGTATCTGTTAAATTACATTTTTATCTTTTATTAAAAAAAATCAGTTTACTGATATTTTTAACTCAAATTATATAAACCTAGTATTGTCTTCGATTAACATAACTTTTATTCATTTAATAAAACACTATTTTGACCGGATTGAAGTTATGTATTATTATAAATTTACAACTATTTAACATAATAATAATTTTAAATTTATCCGACGTTTCGCGTGCTTTACAGCGTGCGTGGTCACGGTGACTTCAATCCGGTCAAAATAGTGTTTTATTATATAAACCTGCAGTATTTTCAAAACAGATTTTGTATTAAACATGTGTGTCATTAATGTTAAAAAGTTGTCTCTGTTTTGATTAACATGTTCACTATGTTTTAAGAGTTTTATCAAACGACGCGTATTTTTACCTTATGTAAGAAATGAAGTCAAGTTAATGAATTAATATTATAATTTTATTTGCATAAAAACAATAATTATTGAACTGAAAGTGCAATGCCAAAACTGCTGATTAATATTAGTAGCTGGTGTAAAAAAATCTTTTTAGAAATGTGCGAAACAAACGCAAGGGTATCGGCAGAAGAAGGCGAAGGTGAAGTTAGTCACGCATGGGGTCTTGCGGCGTTAGCTGCGCAGGCGTTGAACGCGCAACCAATAGATCACCTCATGTCCAGTGAAGAAAGTATGGGCTGGGCGGGACATCCGCTGTGCTCTAATCTAATACAGGCTTTGTAAGTCAATTTTAATAGAGACCGAAAGCTATCGATAATGTTATAAAACGTAGTGCTTGTTACCATGTTTATAAAGGGTTTTGGTCAGTGTAAAAATCGTAGTATAATCGTAAAAATCGACGATAGTAAGGCCATGTATAGGACTACCTTATCCAAATTGGATACAACTGCTTTTTTAGTAATAATTGTTTAGTGATTGTCTAGGGATATTTCCATGGTCTCAGTATAATTTACTAGAATTATAATTCAATTGCTGAATGAGGTCAACATTAATTTTTAAATGTTCATTTTAAAGAAACTTTGAATATATTGTGTTTATGAATAACACCGCATGTTTATATTTCAGAGTGTCTCACTATGCCAAATCGTCAGATCTCCAAACAGCGGCCATGTTGACATGTGCCTTCGCGGTTTTTTGTGAATCAAGTAATTCCAGCACAAACTCCACTTGCAGCACATCCAGTGTAAGTATATATTTGATTATCCTGTTAATAAAAACTTAGTCTTCCAGTATACGAAATATATTACCGTTGGAACAGGAAACGTCCTCTATATTTGAAGCGGAAATTCTTTTATCCAGAGTGAAGCGCAGCCTGCAGTGCCAACTCTACCTTTTATCTATGAAAAAATTGCAACTGTATTAGAATTAAGTTTATTTTTTGTTCTGGTCCCGAGTTATTATTTAACAGCCAGTAACATTGTCATACGATATACGTGATCAACCGCTTTGTTGATTATTTGTTATTTTTATAGCTGCCTGACCTTAGAGCAGGCTGAAGTCATATTTAACAAAATACTTCTTCTTGAATTTATTATTTATAAGGCGACTGTGTCAGAAACTTATTTCGAATGTGAACAACTTTATAACCTCTTTTGTGGTTGAAATTTTACTTATAAAACTATATTAGTCCCTGTGGAACCGGGAGTACTATCTAAATAGTGATAATGTATATACATTGTTATTGTATTACAGGGTAACAACACATCTCCATACAACACAGTTAACCAGTTTAGTGAAATCAACGCTGATGGCTGGACGCTACCGATAATACTTCGAAGTAACTCATGTTCTGAAGCCGAAAATCTAAATACAGAGTACTCCAAGTCTGACAATTCCGGATGTGTCCTCGACGATAGTACTGTGCATTTGTATCATTGCTTTAAGAGGGTATACGCTGATGTATTGCATAGGTGGCAACTTCTATATAAGAGAGGACCGAGGTATGTTAATATCTTTTATATAAAATTCTCGTGTCACAATGTTAGTACTCCTCCGAAACGGCTTGAACTATATTTATCAAATCTTAACCTACGCTGTGAAGTATTATCAAAATTTCTAGAAAGCATTATTTAAAAAAAATAGGATGTAGTGACAAGGATATGAAAGGGAATGCTTATATGGTTTGGCCATGTAGAACGGTTAACAAGTAGGATGTACAATGCAACCGTCGATGGTGAAGTCGATTAACAGACATTTTAATGTATTGTGAAATACCTATAGTTAATTTCTTCAGAATTGATTTAAAGTGTAAACCTCAATATAATAATCCAAAATACTAAATAAAAATTAACAAATTCAAAATAAAACGCCAGTTTGACATTTCAATATTCTATTACCGTTGAAAAATCGTGAGGAGGTTATGAAAGCTATAGAGAAGAGAATGATTTGTGATCTGTGAAAGATCATACAAAATATGTTTTTTTAAATAACAAAACGTTAGTTTAGTTTAGTAATGAGATGCGTACATTTGAAAACACAGTACAGTACGTAATTAATAATAGTTTTTAAAAATTATATATAAGTATTCTTATTGTTACAAAAATTATTTAACCAAGCAAGTCTAGTATACCTATTCGTAAATTTAATTATAAAACTTAACTACACAAGACCCTTACTTCTCACCATTTCCTTATTTCGTCCTTTTATGATTGGACATCATAACTTTTTGTAATCTCTGGTATGCCATCAGTTTACCTTCTAAACAGGTCTAACTGTAATCACAATATTAAATACTCTATTACAATTTACGAGAATTCGATGTTAAATTATTTATAAAAAAATATAAATATTGTCATTATCTGGCTTAGCTTCCTTTATTTGCTGTTAATGAAAGTTGTTTCCAGGTGATGAAACTAGTCCGTAGTAAATACGACCTGGAATCGGATAACGAGCCGTTTTCTCGTTGCAATTGTAAAGGCCCGTGTGTAAGGAAACGCGCGTTGGGATGCGCAGTTTGCTCGCGTGTTGTACGTGGCTTGACCGTTGCGTGTGCGGTTTGCACGCATGTTGGACATGCAGACCATATGCTTAAATGGTATGCATTGGTTTATTATATTGCAAGTATTATCTGCTTAGTACTCATACTTAGTTAAAACGGTAGTTCTGTCTCTTTTCATCACAGTGTTTACGCTAGTCGAAAGTGAACAAAGAGACGAAAGAGTACTTTAGTTAAGAGTGCAATTTGTATCTAGAATTTTGAAGTCTTTATTATTAAAACGCCCTGTTTTTATACACTAATATTATAAATAGGATAATTTTTATATTTAAAATAATAAAGTTAATTTTTCCAGGTTTGCACAACACGATACTTGTCCGACGGGCTGTGGTTGCAAATGTGTGATGGAAGCGAATTCTATATGGAAAAGCATTAAATATGTATAAATTATATGGCCCGTATTTCTCAACGTAGATCAAGCTTTAAACAACAGCTTATTGGCTAAAAAGCTTTTCCAGATAAAAAATGATCCTCCAAATTAGAGTTAAAAAATCCGTTTCGAAGTTAAATATAAACTTCCCCATTAATGATATTTTTTAACTGTTGTATTTTTCGCTATAATAAACAAAATACAAGACAAAAATTTAATAAAACATTTTAATTTGAAAAAATAATAGGCCGTTTCCATATGTATTGGGTATACACTCATTCATTGATCATGTTTCTTTATAGGCAAACAGCCATTCATCGTAAAACTTTTCACACAGCCGGAGTTCGAAAACGCCAAGATTTGGCTTAAGAACAAGAATCAGACAAAACTTAACGTTAAGTATGACTCGCGTATGCCAAATTCGTATTGTATATACGGAAATCACAGATTTTGCGTGTATCGTTTCTAAATCTCACCCTGACATACATTTTGCATCTGTCAAATAGTCTATGCCTCACTCAAGTTTTGCGATGCGTTTTGGAATACGGACCTTTTAAGTAATCGTATGGTGATTGTTAAAATTCAAATTTTATTTTCTGACATTATGTCGCGTTATGTATTTTACTAGACGAAAGACACGAATAGTTATTGGAGACGTGAACTCGTTTACATATTTTTGTAATCATTATTGGGAATGGCCCGGAATACTGCTCGAAAACCATTATTAATTAAAAAAACACTGATTAATTGGGTTCCAAAATCTCGGTAATTATATGGTTAAAATAATAGGTTTATAAAGATACTTCTATTTGTTTAAAAATAGGGATTATTTTGGTTTCCCTTAAGTTTTGCCTTTACGTACGTAAGTTACAAAGACTTTTAAAAGGGCCTTAGTTTTTTCACTTGGCGTACGCACTACCGTCCCGTCGGATACTAGGTCATTCTCGGTACTCGATACTAAGTAAGCTCGTACTCGCATCTCTAATATCTTTGAATTCACTTCTATTGTCTATTGGTGCTGTTCGCGCAATTTTTTATGACATCAGGATATATTTTTATTATATTATGAGATACTGCCTTTGTACTTTCACTTGTTAGTTGTGGCTAGGTTTTTTGTTATGTAGGGTGTGTCTAGGTTGATTGTTAAGCCGATTTGTTGAAATTTATCAGTTCTCGAAGAATTTTTATGCGTACCTACTTTATTCACGCGGGAATCATTCGAAAAATAAAGTTTAACGAATTATTAATAATAGCTATTGTTTCTTTTGATAATATAAAACTGTGCCGTCGTTAAAGGTGCTTTAAATATTCAATTTTTATTTCATTCAAGTATTACGTAAGCAGATTTACTGCAATTTATCACCCCCCCAGATTGTCAGGAAAAATAAGCAAAGCTCTCAAAAATATAAGTATATAAACGTATTAATGTTTTTGCATTTCGTTATCAAGCATAGACAATGTGTGTAATATGTGTAAAAAAGTAAATAATTACTGTTGACGTGATCACCAAAGACCATTTTTTTTAATCGACCTTACACTTTGGCGGAACAATCAACCTTTTCAATCCCAAATCATCTATTTATAAGCATTAAGACTGTGAACAAATAAATGAATACACTTTTGTTTGGGTCTTTATTTAACAAACTTTTACATTTTAAAATAAACTGTGCACTGAGTATCTTATATTACGTGATGTTAAAAAGATTTTCTTAATTTTAACTTCTAACCTAAATGAGTTCTTCAGTCTCATTGAAGCTTTACAAATGAGGTTACTAAGAATGTAAATTGACCTAGGAAATATAGTAAAATCACGTGAAATACAATTAATTTTCTATAACAAAAATATTATTCATAAAATAAAAAGCGTAGATTTTTATATGAAATAAGGGAATTTCAAGTGGTCTCCGATTTCTGTATCTCTTTATTTATATCTATAGGTGATTAGCCTTCTATGATAGACGCCGATTTTTGACCAAGGCTATGCCGGTTTCCCCACGATATTTTCCTATACGGTAAGGGAGTGTTAAATGTGGGGATAGTCGAATTTTGTACTAGCACCACAATCGGCAGGCCACCACTTCATCTACAAATGTTACATCAATGAAGTACGATTGTTTAACCACACCCTTATGGTTTCTACTTCCATCCTTAGTCATTTTGCCACGAGGCACAATGAAGTGAATCAAAAATTATTTAGGGGTTTATCGAACAACAACATTATCGATTAACAAAATTAATCTTATACAAGATCCCATGCCCACAAATAAACTAAAATATAAGTACAAATAAAAGGACTTTTGAATATTTTTAATGGACTTTAAAAGTCGTATTTATTTTAATAAATAATTAATACCGATTTATTTAGTGCACATCATAAATAACACATTAGTTTTAGCTCTTCCACAGAATTCACCAAAATTTTAGGACGTGAAGCGTACACAGGGTATAGGATTCACAATCGTAACTTAGCACTAAGTATAATTCCCGTATGTCAAATTCAATACGTTTTTGACAGACGAGAGGCAATACGTATTGCGCGCGCTAATTCGCGCTGTCTCAACGCTGATTCGAAGCTAAATAAATTAACAACTACTTTCGTATTGACTTAAAATATTTATCAGGTACATTAGCAAACTTATCAAAGGACAAGATTCATCAAGTTGAAGAAAATCTTATATGGTTACTGTTTAAAATTAAATTAACTTGAGGAACAATTTATCGCAAGTGAAATGTTAAAGAGTCGGAATTGTTTAAATGGTTTTTTGAACCAAATTGTAACTGATTTTTACCAAAAAAAACATTATTTAGATACTGATAAAGCATTATTAACAATATTTCTAATAAAATTGCCTACTCTACAACTGGCGTTTCCTTAAAAATTTACAATAGGCACCGTTTTTAAGCAAACTACGTCTAAATAAAAATTTACAAACACTAAACTTAAGTTTCGATGGAAAATTAGTTAGAACTTACTATTGTGCGAGCGATTTGTGTTAATCATCTTCTGTTCCTTGTTTGATCCCATTTACAATCATGTTTAAGTTGATTATCGCACGCGTTTTTAATAAATGTTTACGCTAAGACACTTAAATCAATCTTTTACGGTTATAAACGCGAATTTATCGACGTTTCAGCAATTATAGTTAGCGAATGACAGTCGCGTATATGCAAATAATGTAGTTTATATCTGTTAAAGATGTTTAACATTTGAATTAAAAAAAATCTAAATCACAAAACCAAATATTTCTTAATCGCAAACGTGCGCTTGGAGGGACTCCCACTCTGTAAAAACGGTAATGATTTTCATAATTTGTATTTTAACTTTGTAACAAATTTTAAACGGATATAATTCTGACTTCATCTAACGATTTAACCTAATTTGGATATGCAGAAAATAATAGGTTAATTAATTAACATTAAACAAAACTTGCATTAAAGTTATTAATTTTTGAGATAAGGATTCCAAGAAATCCAAATATGACGCTTCATTATAACGTAACGATAATGTAAATTAGTACCTACTAACTTGATGTTGATATTGAATATTTATGTTGGAAGTCGTGCCTAACCGGAAAAACTACGTTATTTTCAAACAACTTTTTTATAAGTATTATTCATAATCATTGTTTATGTATTTGTTTACACATCATTTAAAAAATATGTAATGCATATTGTTGTGATATCAAATCATAAAAACCGCGTGCGATAATCTAGCATTACGTGTTATCATAACATGAATTTTAATGTTATAATTATGTCGAATACCGTTGTCACTTAAATTGTTGAGTAGTTGAAGGCACAGAATATGATTAAATTTATATTTGGCTACATCAGACTGTCTTTTTCTAATCTAAACTAAAAAAATCATGCACACGATGGATGCGTTGGTTTTCAAAGACGGGTCGTTCTATTGTAGCAGCTAAAACAAATAATTTATATTAGGTTATTTACTACATACACGGTGGATTGTTTTAAACCCCAACTGGAGGAAATATTAATTAACAAGGAATGAAATTTTTTATGACACAGTTTTCTTCATTTTTGTTTGTCGATGGGTTATTTTTATATCTCCAGATGGTGATTAAAATTCCATCCTGTATCACACTCGACCTACTACTTCATAAGTATAAACTTGCATTTAGACACTTATTTTTTTTTTATTCCGCTAGTCTAAAACAAAATAATGATCTATGTAGGGGACGGCTGTTTAACAATTTTAACAAATAATTGAATATCATGAAGAATATTGGCTAAATTACTACTAAATAAACTTTGATCGATACTCTAACTATTTATCTATGAAGTCGAATCGAAATATTATCAAATCTACATAACTATCTCACAATTATTTTTTTAAAAGAGAAGTGTTACAACTTACCCCGTGGTGCTGGGGCTAGTTGTAACAACAAAAATACACCTTCAATCGTTTAATTTTTTCACATCTTGATCATTTTATCTCTTAGTTCTACCTTACATCTTACCATCGCAGATTTGTTAACTTTTCCTTCCCCTTTCACTTTTCTTTATCATCTTCTTTTTGCATTTTCTTCATCTTTTTCTTCATATTCTACTCTCAAAGCTTCATTTTCAGGCGTATCAGTCAGAACAGCAGACTTCCTTTTGCGTCTGCAATTTATATTTGTTTTTCGTGGTGGCGCCTTTGGTAATGGTCTAACTTTTGATGGGAAAAATTGATTTTGACCAGACAACTTGGAGTTAGTTTGTTCGCAGTTTCAATGTGGCGTATAATTTCTGTTGTGCTGATATCCACTTCAGGAGCAGAATCTAATAGTTCTGGATGTTTAAGACTCAACATAAAGAAATTCTCACTTTCATTTAGAACATTTTCTGATTGTTATGTAGGCTCTGATGATCAGTAACATAAGAGAGCGCAAAGTCACTATCTTGGAAAATATCAACATTCAAAGGCCAAATACCAGAAGCTTTAAGTCCACTGATAAAGACTCCTTCACTACACTTGGGATGTCATAAATTGTCATCGTTTTTCCTGGATTATTATACATCCATGCAGTCTGTGCTCTGTTCACGTAGTTTTTAAAAGGCCCGTAGACTCCTACATACATAGGTTGAAAATTGTGGGAGCAATGGGAGGAAAACTATAACATGATAACATTGTTTTCTTTTGGCTTTTTCGACAACTGAGCTGACACTACTCACAACTGAGAGACAACATTCACATTGAGCCATATTATCGAGCAGTAACAGAACTGGCTCTTTCTTGGTAGGTTTCGCGTGTTTGATAAAGTATCTCAAAATCAAAAATTCTTTATCAGTCATCCTCCACCCTGAAGAATTGCCAGCTCCAATCAATCTTCAGTCCACCCAATGAACATTTGTGAGTATTTAAGCCGGGGAAAACTGAACATCGGCCGTCATAACTTACAGCAATCTGGGGGCATTTAACTTTCAACAAACCCCAGGTTTTGTTACAACTAGCCCCTTATAGAGTTCTTAATATTTATCACGATAACTATTAAATTAACTTAGTAATCTTGAAAACTGTTATACAACATCATAAATAGTTATATTTTAGCATAAAATAAAATACATAAAACTTCAAAGTTACGAAAATAGTGAAACTAACCAAAAATTTACTTAGTAAAATTATAGGTTTCCTTCAACAATTAAGCGTTTGCACACACCCACTCACTGAGCCGCCTGGTAGGACCCTGGCTGTGGTAAAGTGGCGTGGCACGTTATAAGTTGAAGATTAGGTAAAAAAAACCGTGAATAAAATTCAAATTCCTATTGAAAAAGGTCTTTACTATTTACCCCTGTAACAACAGCCCGCGCTCCCTACTGAAGTCGTGAGAAAATGTTGGCAAATAGCATTTTAGTACTTGTCTCATAGAAAAAACAGTCACGATAAACTAATTAAATTTTATAGAGAAAAGGCAAAATACACTCGGAGGGATCTACATATGTCTACTACCTAATGCAGATTCACCTACTCTTTAATTCTCACTACTAAAAATTCAAACACTTAAGAATCAAAAAAAAGACATCCAAACATATGTTATGCCGTTTCCTTTTTGAAATGAAAAAAAGTCATGTTTTTGTTTTTCCTAATTGGTAGTCCTAATATTTTCCAATCATCAATAATCAACATTTAATCTCAATTTACTATCCTAGTCTTGTTTTCTTTCATTTGTCAATACTAAAAATCTTAATCCCATATCCCTACATTTTTAATCAACACGACTTTGTCGAATAAAAGGACAGAGAATAATCAGCGTAATATTCTGAGCGTACCTTTCAAGTAATCTCCGCTTGAGTTCTGGTGGATAACTGACAAATATGTAATGGTCGTCGTGATCTTCGTCGAGCATCGCGTCTTCGGCGCCAAGTCGCTCGCCACGCGTTGGCGAGGAATGCGTTGTCATGGAAACGGACGCGCTTCCCGCTATGCTTCCCTCTTCAGAACTGAAAACATATTCGTTGTGATTACAGAGATTTTTCGCAACCTCTTTGGGTAAAGGATTTTATTATGATGATCGTTTTTAAATAATCAGCTCCGTATTGAATTTCCCTAAAATCGGAGACCTTTTGGTGTGTCCAACTTCAATTATTATTATTCAAATTATGTATGGATATATAAAACATGAATAAAAGTAATGCAACATACTTTTCGAGGCTTTCACGGTCATGTTTAACAAAAAAATTATAGAACGTACATATTTATTAACTCATTCGATTTTCAAATGCTATTTTTGTTTATTTTTTATTTTTTATAAGTATTTGTAAAAATGCGAGAAAAGTATAATTATAAAACTTTAACAAACATTTACGCATATTCAAAATAAAACAAAACTATGTCGTGTACAATATATTATAGTCTCGTGTGCAGTTTGGATATGGTACAGTTCTTTGGAGGCCGCTGGCCGCATTATGCAACGCATATGTTACGACTCAAGCGTTAACAAAAAAGAGTAACTTTTCTCCAAAGTCATTTTGAAAAATGAAAAATACATACGAAAATATGTATTTAAGATGTTGTCATTAAAATATATCGATATAGTCATTAGTATTTTTGATTAAATAGTAGGAGACCTATTGATAGTAGAGAATAGACTAGCCAGGTTCGTATAAAAGTTCTATTTCTAATCTATCTAATAACTCAATTACACAAAATACAGAAAAGAAGAAGTCGGTATGAGTTATAACTGTATAGTCATACGATTTCAATTTTTTTATGTATTCAGCCTATAGTGAACGAATAATACTTACTCAAACACAATCCATATGATGTAGTAGCACATACAAAGAGCCAGTGCCAGGCCTGTGGCCAGGGCAATTAAAAGAGGCCAGGGGAAAGCCCTGGCTGCCGGTGTCGTGTCTTCCCAGTACCGGTCGCAACTAAGGTACCAACAGACTGCTCGTTGCATTTCTTCTGTAAATTATTTTTTTATAGTGTGAATCTCTCTCTCAGTTCTACACTGATCTTTACCCCATAGAGTGTAGAAAGTAACTTTATTTATATGTTCTATATTACGCCAACTTTTTTGTTGACTAGGAAGAGAAGTAGCTAAATAGGTTTGTCATTTGAGGAATGAAGTTTACAATGTATTTAATTAAAAATACTAGCGTTAACAATACTTTATTCAATGCATCCTATATATTTTACTGATAATATTATTATTAACTTACATATACGTTAAACTGTGACCTATACGCCTTTTACGCGCAAAAAATGTGATTAAGTTAATGTGATAAGTTATGACAATTTCAAATCAATTAAATAATACGTTTACCTTCGAGTTCCGTAAATTGTGGCTGTGTGAGATGTAGAAGAAGTGTCGCAATACACGAATGAACAACTTTCTCACAGCGCACCTGAAATATATAATCTTTAAACTCAGTACGAACAGTACTTAACTTGTAAATAAATAGAATAGTATTACCTACAAACTGGGCACAAATATGATGTATTCAAATAACCTTAGTAAGCACACCAAAAGTATAATTAGAAAAATCCAGTGGCGCTACAACTTTTTATGGTTAGGGTCTAGATTTCTGTATTTTTTTCGTGATCATATGTTTTTTTTCTAATAGGTAATAAGATTATCAGCCTGCTGTGCCTGGCACACGCGGTCGCCTTTTGGGACTTTTTGGAAACGTCAAACAGTTCTATAATTTTATATTAAAAATAAATAATAGTGTAATAATACGTTTAGATCCCGTAAATGTGTAGTTTTCTTTAATACAAAGATGTTATTAATTATACCTTTAAACCCTGAAGTTTATTAGGATCACAGGCTGCTCTTTCTGCTTGCAGGTCAGCGAGCCTCTTCTGCCTGCTGTCAGGTGGCAACGAAGACTCCACTGTGTCAGCATCACAAAGTTCCGCCGTTTGATTTGTATCAACGTCACTTTCTTCTCTTTTCTTTTCTCCGTTGTCTATTGCTTCTTTAAAAACAAAATACTGTTTTTATCAATGCATATCTATATATATATATATAATTGTTATTACCGATGCACTAAAATCTCTCTATCTTAATTGTAAATAGTCAAAAATCCCGCACAAAATTTAACACATTATTTTTCGAAAGATCGTCTATCGAAAACTTGACCGAGACAAACTTTTCGTTTAAAATCTATCAATGAGTACCTCGGAGTTTTAAACAGTCTGAGCAGTATGTTATGGATCGATAGTTTATGATATCGCTAAGTTGGATATTAGTTGAAGTTGTAACAGCCTTCACAGCTTTTTTTCGCTCTTATATGAAATAACTTTAGTGGTTGTGTAGATTTTTATTAATTGCAAGCAAAGCTCTATATAATATTTGTGACCACAATACAGACCTATTTCCTCACTATCAGGTTCCGTCCGAGGACAATCTGGCACTGGTAATGGGGGAGGTCTCGGCCTTTGCCGACGTCGAATGGGTACCTTAGCGACACTTCTCGTAGCCGCCGGTGCAAGAGCTTTTCTCGCTGACTCTAAATCTTGCCACACTTCGACGTCAGTGCTGGGTATGATTCCGTCACTCATAAGGCCGTGTGCAATGAGTACTTGACACCGCATTATATCACAATAGTCTGCTAGACATACTGCATCTTCAGCCTAGAATTTGAAGATAAATCATTTTCTTAAGTAACTAACAAACAATACATATAACTTTTCATTTCTTAAACAAAATCATTCTTCGTAGAGGTTAGGTACTTTATAAATAAAGTTTTCTAATATTATTAAGGCAAACCGTTTATTTAAGTTTGACAACTTAAAACCAGGTAACTTGAAATTGCTTGCCTTATTTATTTGGGTCTTATGTCGTTGGTCAAAGTGAGCGTCAAGGTGTCGCTCCTCGTAAAAGGATTTGCCGCAAAATGCACAGGTCCATTGAGAAGAACGGTGCTGTAACTTTGCAGCATGTTGTGGCGCGAATATATCTCGTGCGGGGTGGAATGGACACTCTAGAGGTAATTTTACCTGAAAAATATTTTTAATTAGAAAATGTTAATCAATAAATATATAGGGGTCTTGGCTGAAGCTTCAGAATTTATTTAAATGATTTTCTTTGCATATATCTAGATCTACGCAATCTTTGGTACTCTATAAGCTTGTACGACGCGGCAACGGATAACTTTTCGTCCTTATTCGAAGAATAGGGATGTTCAAACACCGCTAATTTCCTAACATTAAATGTATATAATAATCATATTTTATACGTACTGTAGAGACATTAATACATAGTTAATGTCTCCTAGATTAAATTATAAGTAATGTACTTATTACAATACCTGAAATCTTTCTAACACCGGTAGCCATTTGCTTTGTATAATTTTCCTTACGATTTTGGAGTTGTCACGAGAACATGATATTTTGAAAACCGAGGGCCCCGGCCATGGTATTAACGTCAGAAACAGCAGGGTCAAGACCTGAAAATGTCAAATTGAATTTTTATTTTTTATAAGGCTCTTTAAGGAAATAGCAAAAAGCTTAGTCGACATCACAGGAGACTCAAGAGCTGGCAGCTAACTCGGACAAAGATTTAGTCTAACTATTCAAAGGCGGAACGCTGCCAGTATCTTAAAAAGCTACGACCTTCTTAGCGATTAGCTACGCCTACTGAGATGATTAAATATAATAGCTTTGGAGCTAAATGTCAAATCTTGATACATTTCGTATAAGAAATAATATGAAACAATATAAACGTGAGCATGTAAAATGTTTATACTTCTGTTCCTAGCAAATAATTGCTATTTATTTGCATTCATATTTAACAGAAAGCTACATGGTAGCTAAGAGAAGCGGTGCGTAGGGCTCGGAACTTCAGAATTAGGTTATGTTATTAAATTATCGATTTTGCGAAAATATCCTTACAAGATAAATCACTTACCTCGAGGGAAAACGACGTGGTCCTCATTCATATCTTGTAACCCACAAGTTGTTTGTGAAAAACCTTTAACAAGCTTACTAAAATAATTCAGGAAGTTCCCCTCATGAAGCTGACATACGAGGCTCTCGGCGCATGCGCGTAACTCCCCCATTTCGACAACTGTAATAAATTTACATTCACGAGGGTTGGCTAAAATGATATCAACATTCACCGCATATATAATAACATAATATCTAGCAATTTGGTAATTGATTTTGTTTAAATGGAGCTTACTACATAAAAAAATACAATATGAATGAACATTTTTTTTTAAACATCACACACTTAAGTTACCAATATATTTAATATAAACCAGCGTGGCTTAGTTGTCCATTTACCGTATATCTCAGAGGTCCTGGGTTCGATTTTCGGCGAAACAATGACTGTTTCGGGACAAAAAGTAAAAAACACGGAAAAATTTATCTCTCATTCCCCAGGGATTGCTTACATCAAACACAATTACGATAGATTCACTTAGTGTTACGCTTTGTAGGATTTTCATTATTAACGTCTATTATATCTGAAAGTATCAGTTGTAAACTTTTATTTCTGTAAATCTATATTAAATTAGCACTGCTATATTCATCATATACTTACATATTCAGCGTATAAATAGATGATGAAATCTATGAAGAATAATAAAGATTTCCACTCAAGTTTCAGAAGCGTAAACATTTGAAAATAATTTTGTGTTTATTAGTAATTTTTACCAGAAGCTACTCTAGTTTCACACTGTATTCTTTATTACATAACATGTTACCATAAAAATTCGTACCACAAATTCGTTTTACAATGGCACAATGTTTTCGTATCAATACAATTATTTCACTAACAACCCGATAAGCTGTAATTAGTAACGAAAATGTTTGTTATGCTGGGAGTGTTAGCTATGCCAGCATTGTAAGTGCGCTGGAATCACGCATGGGTCTAAAATTGGAAATAAAAGTAAGTAATAATATTAAATCAGTTAGGTCGGTACTCGGCTTATATGAGGTTTCAAATTTCTTGGTTCTCAATCTCAAAACTTGACTGTTATTTGAGCTTGGACGCATGAAAGGAAGAGGAAGGAGAATTGTTCAAGATCGAAAAATCGACGATGTGTCAGGCAAAGACTATTTAATAATAAAAATGATCATCATGACCTAGAGATTTAGAACCACTGGGATTTTATGATTGGAAAAAATAAATGATTGTAGATGAGAACAAGTACGTTAATAAAGTACTTTAATGTAATTATAAATCAAATTAATATCATTATTTTATAACCGTAACATGTACCTACGTACTTATGAACTTCACATTCTATTAATTTCGATTTAAAATGTTCGAGTTTCTTTCATTCTATATTAAATTTAAGAAGTAGGTGAAAAGTTAAATATACTCGCACATAGTTTCAAGTTCAACTTGGTTGCATGTCCTCCCAATACGTTTAAGTATTATGTAAATATGTTTTTATATTTTCTTATCAATTGCATGCTGCACATAACATGTCACACCCTCACTTGCAGACTTCGTGCCGTATGACGTCTCGTGATTAACTTTAAGTCATAATGTGACTTTAAAATAAAACTTATTATTTTTCTTGCAATGTGCATGGAAGTTAAGGGACTGTAAAATACTGAAACGTAGAAAAAAATGCGCATACGTTAATATGGGTAGATGAATTGCCTCTTAGATAGTTGTTATTTAACAAATTGTGATACAATGTGTATGGTACGGTCGGGTTAGTGTGTTTTGTCATTGCGCATGCTCCCAGCTTCTGGTCCACTCAGATAGGGCAAGGCTCTCGCAGAGACTTGACTACTAAACAATAATAACCTTAATCTTTTGTATATTATGTACGAGAGCTCCCAATATGGTATTTATTAATTGGCATGTAGATTTTTTCAAATTGTGTAATTTTAACATGCAATCACGTCACGTTAATCCCTAAGACTGTGGTATCAAGATGCAATGATCATGTAGGTAAGTCTTTTTGCTTAATCCAAATATTTTCAAACATAAATTTGTTAAATTAAAACAACATTATCTCTTTTCAGAATGGTGATTATCAAATATCATTCCGATCACGCTAGAAAAATAACTATTCGGTTACGATATGTCATTGGATTTGTGCTAGTAATCGGAACTACATTTTTTCTATTTCTGCTCAGTAATAATCCCCTCATATTATTTATGAATGAAAATTATATAAGAGCTTCTTTAAAACCATACACAATAAACTTCGCTCATTCCGACGGCAGTTTTACAATAAAAACTGAAGGATGCACAATACCTGAACTGCAGCCATTTGATAAAAGTGTTAAAAAGTTCATAGAGAGACCAAAGCATATAAAGCAATGTGAAAACTTCAACACGTCGTTCTTAGAAAACAATAGAACGCATATTTGGATTAATCGTAAAAACTTACGCTACTTCAACTTGAGTGATAGTACTAATATTACTTGTTGCTATAAATCTTTCTATCGGCCTCTTGCGATAGACGATATTTCCTCCGCCGATAATGATGACAGAGTCAAATACAATGACTGCATCGACTTTTCAAGCTTTATCGAAGTCACCAATGAATTCGTCAAAGTGTCTTGTGTCTACGAGTTCACTACGATTTATGAACAATTTTTTGCTTTCACGCCAAAGAAACCGCTACTTAATGTAAGGGAAGATATAAATGAAGAACAGGAATTTTACAATGTAATCGTGATGGGTATTGATGCTATTTCTAGACTTAATTTTCATAGAACTATGCCCAGGACGTTAGCATTTCTGAAAAAAAGAGGAGCGATTGAGTTGCTAGGATACAATAAAGTAGGTGATAATACCTTTCCAAATCTAGTTCCAATGCTTCTAGGCATTAGAGAACAAGATTTAAAAAACACATGTTGGCCTAATTCTAAATCAACGTTTGATTACTGCCCATTTATATGGAACGCTTTCAAAGATGCCGGATACTATACAGCGTTCGGTGAAGATAGTGCAAGCTTGGGGACATTTAATTTTGAAAAATTTGGATTCATCCAAAGTCCTGTAGATTATTATCTACATACATTTATGCACGAAGCGGAGAAATATTCAGGTAATAATAGAGATTTTAACTCTTATATTTGTATGGGAAACGTATTCTTTTATAATGTTCTCCTTGACTATATTGAGAACTTAACGAATGCTTTGAAGTCAATGAAGTTTTTTGGATTTTTTTGGGAAGTCACAATGAGTCATGATTATTTAAATTATCCAATGTTAATGGATGATAGCTATGAAGAATTTCTAATTTCACTTGATGATTCCGGTACTTTGGAAAATACCGTTCTAATTCTGTTGAGTGATCACGGTATACGATGGGGCGACATTCGGTTTACTAAGCAGGGAAGGTTAGAGGAGCGTTTACCATTTATTCATATTTTATTACCGCCCTCATTTAGTCAAAACTACCGAGAAGCATACAAGAACATGTATTTAAATAGCCACCGTCTAACAACTCCCTTTGACATACACGCGACTCTCATAGATTTAGTCAACTTAGAATCAATAAATGATAACAATATCCTGTTAAGAAGTTTAACTCAATATAGTAAAGATAAAAGTATAAGTCTTTTCTTATCTATACCCGATAATCGCACATGCAAAGCAGCAGGAATTGAGGACCACTGGTGCACTTGTAATAAAGGAATTAAGCTTTCGACACATAGTGCTGAAGGTCGCCAGACTGCCGATTATTTGATCACATACCTGAATAGTTTAGTAAGCAAAAATTCAAAGTGTGCAAAGCTCTTTCTTAAGGAGATAATGGAAGTTACAGAAATGATAGTTGGCACCCCTAATGAAATAGAGGTAGGTTGGCGGGAATTTCTCATAGTTGTGCGTGTGTCTCCTAGTGACGCTGTGTTTGAAGCCACTCTCCGACAGAACAACAACAATTGGTCACTTACTGGTACAGTCAGTCGACTCAACTTATATGGGGAGCAGAGCAATTGTGAACATAATTATCAATTAAAACTGTATTGTTATTGTCAGCTATAAGGTTTATAGTTGAAAGCCTAATTACGTAGCCTCAAACATAATCTGTGATAAGATATATTTAGACAGTAGCTTAGTATGTTGTGATTACCTTAAACTATTATTATGTGTAACTAGTATACTCGACGTAAATTGATGTTACCGTGTTATAAATGTTAATTTTAATATTTGCCTAATTATTCAGTAGAAGCTTGTAGTTTATCAGTTATGGAATTGAAATATAGAATATACATACTATTTTTCCTTTAAGCATAATATAGTAATGTTTGGAATGTAGAATCGATCTTATCCAACTTAAAACTTTATTTTTATTTAATATTATTTTGTATTCAAATCTTTATACGGGTAGGTTGTTCAATAGAGTTTAAATAAAGACAAAATGATACTTATTTGTTTTTTAATTTTATGAATAATAAAATCAACCGAAAGTTTACTCTTACTATTGTACAAAAATGGCCCAAGAAAGCAGAAAAAAATTATGCGAATGTTGAGAAAGCTGCCGGTTGTTAGTGTTATGAGGTCAAACGTTGTTTGGAAATGTTGCTTTAAAATAAACGTTTATCTTATTGTGAGGAAATCAAATATTTTATAAAGTGTAACCGTTAAATAGTTATAGAAGATCGGAGCGGCGCCTACTTTGAGAATAGCACGTTGTACCGTTTCTACTTCAATGAGGTGATTTCTGAAGCAACTTCCGATGTATCACTACAACACCTAACTATCGAGCAAAATAAACTATCTTCAGAATATGTTGATCATTTATCCGCCTTAGATTTCCAAAATATAGATCAATTTGCCCATCCTGTTGACTAGTGTTTCTAAGTGAAGTTTAAAAGTTAAGCACTTTTGTTTCAAATTAAGAAGCATTTTTTTAACAACTTCATAAAGCCCGAAATACGTTTTTTTCCCCTCCCCCCCCCCCCCCCCCCCCCCCTTTTTTTTTTTTTTTTTTTTTTTTTTTTTTTTTTTTCTCCCCCCCCCCCCCCCCTCCCCCCTAAAAAAATAATTGGTTTTGTTGTTTTTTTTTTTTCCCAACGCCCCCCCCCCCCTCTCCTTCTTCTTCCCCCCCCCCCCTCCCCTTTTTTTTTTTCCCCCCCCCCCCCCCCCGCCCGCCGCGCGGGGCGCGCCCCCCGCCCCCCCCCCCCCCCGCGCGCCGGGCGGGCCCGGCCCCCCCCCCCCCCCCCCCCCCCCGAAGGGATAAAGGGGGGGGGCCGCCGCGGGGGCCGCCCCCCCCCCCCCCCCCCCCCCCCCCCCCCCCCCCCCCCCCCCCCCCCCCCCCCCCCCCCCCCCCCCCCCTCGGGGGGCCTTTTGGGGGGGGGGGGGGGGGGGGGGGGGGGGGGGGGGGGGGGGGGGGGGGGGGGGGGGGGGGTGGGCGCCGGGGGGGGGGGGGGGGCGGCGGCGCCGGGGGGGCGGGGGGGCGCGGGGGGGCGGCGCCCCCCCCCCCCGCCCCCGTGCCTTTCCCCTTGTTTTCTTTTTTTTTTTCCCCCTTCCCGGCTTTTTTTTTTTTTTTTTTTTTTTTTTTTTTTTTTTTTTTTTTTTTTTTTTTTTTTTTTTTTTAAATCGGTTTTCAGGATCGGCGGTCGCTCTCAAATCAGTCTTGGAGTTGTCATTTTTTGTTTTTTTTTTTTTTAAAGGGGGAGCTTGTAGTTCATTGTTTATTAAAGACATGCCAAATTGATTATTTTTACAGATCGCAGGGCAGATTCCCTGCTCGAAAGGGTTCCTACCGCTGAAATCGTGATATTTGGCGGTTTTTTCCCCCCCCCCCCCCCGGGGGGCCCCCGGCCCCCCCCCCCCCCGGGGGGGGGGGGTTTTTCCCCCCGTTTTGTTTCCCCCCCCCCCCCCCAAGGCCCCCGCCGCCGGGGGGTTTTTAATGGGGGGGGGGGGGGGTTTTCTTTTTTGGATTTTATTAATCGGAGAATATAAGTCTCTTTGACGATTGGGTTCATCGGATACTGTGGGTTACGCGCCCCTTCACCCCCCTTTATGGGTTGTGCCGTATTTGGCACTATAAGTAAGGGAGGTTTTTTTTGCCCCCCCCCGGGGCCCCTTCTTCTTTTCCCCCCCCCCCCCCCCCCCCCCCCCCCCCCCCCCCCCCCCTTTTTTTTTTTTCAGCAGGTTGGGGGGGGGTGCGGTCTTTCTTTGCGTCCCCCCCCTTGGGCCCCTTTTTTTTTTTTTTTTTTCCCCCCCCTTCCCTCTCCCCCTTTTTTTGTTTTTTTTTTTTTTTTGGGTTTTTTTTTTTTATTCCATTTTCTGCGGTGCTGATCGGTGGAAGTCTCAGGTGGCAATCCCCCTGGTTTAAACGTTCTTGCAAGGCGGCCCCCCGCCCAAAACCCAAAACCCCTTCCCCCCATGGGCGGAAGCGGCGAAATCTCGTGATACCAATACCAGCGAATTTAAAAGCATATAACTCATCCAGTCTTGGAAATCACTAAGGCAAAGTTAGAGCACATTGCAGATTTGGCGAAAGATTGGCCCATTTAGGGATAGTTTGTTTATTAATTTTTGTAGCCCGCCATTCCGCCACTCGGGAGGATGATTCTGGCCCACATGCGAAGGAGAAGGCTGAGCCCCCAACTCGACTTTGGATGACCGAGGGAGATCACCACCGACCATTTCGCGGTGTGATTTTCGATGCCGGAAGTCACATTTCTAAACCGATCCGCAAAGCACCATCTCCTTGGACATTCATAAGTCGAGCGTACCAATTGTGCTGCGTACTTGGAGTTGGCTCCGGTCTTAACGCGCCTTTTCCGGTACCTGTACTCGATCGGCACTGTCCCGAAGTCTGGAAGACCGCTTTTTTTATTTTTAGATCCAATTTTTTTGTTTTTCAAATAATGTTTTAATTGCCAGCTCTTGATAGAGGGCCAACGATTAAAAATACATACAGCTTTGGTGTCGTTCGCTTAACTTTCTTTATCTTCATAGATGGGCAGCGATGCAACCCCTAGTTTTTTATGCTATAAATGATATGTTGAAACATGGCAAAATTCGACGTTTGCTATGCGGATCAGCTAGGATAATTTATAATTATTCTTAGATGGAATTGGCATTCTCTCGAACTTAATTTCAATACATCGTAATGAAAATACTTTTACTGGCGTGGCTTTATTTATGCAATTGTAAAAACTGACCGTGAGTTGACAATATTTACCCAATAATACCAACCCTTTTAAAGACCATTCTTATTAAACTCACACCAGCTTTGGAATAGTAAAACTATAGGTACAACGAAATATGTTGCTGATTCATCCCTCGACGTCCGCCGTATGATGAGTCCTCTCATATATATAACGTACATATTTGAGGTTTTTCAAGGAGTTTTGCCGCACCCCATATTGGAACCAGCTGCCCATAAGTATTCCCGAAAAATTCGACTTGGGTCCTTCAAGAAAGGGGGGACCCAATCTTAAAGGGCGGGCAGCGCCCCCGCGGGCCCCGCGGGGGGGGGGGGGCGTCCCCGGGCGGCGGCCTCCCCACCCCGGGGGCCCCCCCCCCCCCCCCCCCCCCCCCCGTTCTAAAAAATAAAACCCCCCTTTGGGGGGGAAAAAATCACCCCCAAAAATTGTGGTGTTTTCCGGGGGCTCCCTTTTTTTTCCCCCCCCTTTATTACCCCTAAATATTTGACAAAATTCATAGTTCAATTAACACGTATTGGACGATATTTATTAACCTATATTAATTAGGTTTATGATAAGAGCCAGGAAAAAATTGAAAAAACACTACAACATTTTAATAACTGGAAGTCATCGGTCTAATTATAACGTATATTTAAAACAACCGAAACTATTCAAGGTATTTTTGAGCAATTCTTTTGTTTTTAGAAGTGTACCGAATCAGTTTTGAACCATATGAGTGTGGAAGATCAAAATGACCTTTAAGTACAAAGTATTGTCAACAATTTTCGTGTAACAGTTACAGCGATGATGTAAGTATGTAAAATTATAATATTGAAGATTTAATGGCGGCTGCAGTTTCTAACTAGAAAATAATTTCCTATTAACTATAATAAAATAAGAAACTTTTAAAGGATTTTAAGATATAAGACATTAATCGAATCTAAAATTCTAATTGTAATGATTAAAAATTCACTAAAAAATTGACGGTTAAATAAGATGAGCACTTTCTTCTATTAATATTTTATAACATAGAAACAAAAGTTTGATTGTTTCATTGTAGATCGTTTCAGGATTTCAGATTAACTAAAACCGCTCCTTCCCATTTTTAAATATGCGGCAATAATTGTTTTAATTTAAATAGCAACCTTGAAACTTGTTGAAACTAGAACAGTGAAACATTAGAAAAACAATTCGATTTAATAGAAAAACAACCTCTTTTAAGAATTAACATACCTTTAAAAATCATACCGAATCATTGATAGCGTAGGTAGGTATCTGTACAATATCATTGATAAATATTATCCATCACTAATTTGATTTTACACTTACATTATCTTAACCGCTTAGTATTTTGTATTGTTTCAGTATGAACCGAGTTGTTTTCGGCAACGGAATTTACGGAACGGCGCCCGCGCGTCTCCGATATTTGTTTCTATTTGCCATAGTCAGCGGGACGACCTTTATAATTCTATCATACCATGAATTTACAGACGAACAGTTTAATTTTGATTCGCAAGATTTCTCATATGAAGACACAGGACAAGAACAGTTTACAATAAGAACAAAAGGATGCAGTATCGCAGCTTTACACCCTCTAGATCCCAGTGTACGGAAATTCGTTAACTATCCAGATAGTGTCAAGCCCTGCCCAAATGAAAAGACACCGTTGCTTGACAGCAATCACACTCATATTTGGTTAAAAACAGAAAACGCAAGATTTTATAACGTTACTGGAAGACGTAAAATAAAATGCTGCTATCGATCGTTCTTTCGTCCTTTATTAGTGAAAGATGTGAGTTCGTCTAATATAGATAAACGTGTAGAGTATAGAAAATGTCAAAATTTTACGGACGTTATAGAAGCACGTGATGAATTTGTTAACGTTATGTGTTATGAGGGTGCAAGAATGGTTTACGAACAATTCTTCTTATTTGCTGTCGATAAAGAATTGTCGTCAAATAACAAAGTGCAGGCCTCTAAAAATAATACAGATTACAACGTTATTGTAATAGGAATCGATGCTGTTTCAAGACTTAATTTTTACCGTACAATGCCGAAAACTTTAAATTTCTTAAAAGACAAGAATGCAATTGAATTACAGGGATATAACAAAGTTGGGGATAATACATTTCCAAATCTAATACCAATGCTGATGGGTATCAGAGAGTCCGAATTAAAGAAAACCTGTATACCGAATCCAAAATTAACTTATTTTGATAGTTGCCCCTTCGTTTGGGAGTGGTATAAGCAAGCCGGATTCTATACAGCTCTAGCTGAAGACAGTGCGAATCTAGGAACATTTAATTACTTGAAAGATGGATTTATAAGGTCACCAACAGATTACTATATTCATACCTTTATTAATGAAGCTGAAAAAAATGTTGGCAATAACAAAGATTTTAATTGCTTTTTATGTATGAATAATAAATATTTTTACACCGTGTTATTAGATTACATTGAACACCTTCTAATAAAGTTGAGAACATCAAAATTATTTGGGTTTTTCTGGGAGGTAACAATGAGTCATGACTACTTAAATTACCCAATGGTCATGGACCACTATTATGAAACCTTCTTTAAGCGTTTAGATGCTCTAAAGGTTTTAGATAATACTTTTATATTTATTGTAAGCGATCACGGTATAAGATGGGGTAACATACGAGCTACGAAACAAGGCCGTCTCGAAGAGCGTCTTCCATTTGTTCATATTTTAGTGCCACCATCATTTAAAGATAAGTACCGTGAAGCGTATGTCAATCTGAAATTAAATAGCCGGCGACTGACCACTCCATTTAACATACACTCAACTCTAAACGACCTCGTAGATTTAAAGGTTATAGAAAATTCAAGTATACAGTTACGAAAACAAGAGACATATTGGAATGACCGTAATATAAGCCTTTTCCTACCTATACCATCAAATAGAACGTGTTCATTGGCTGACATTGATGACCATTGGTGTACATGCCATCGTGGGCGAAAGATATCGAAAACAAGCACTGAAGCAGTAGAAGCAGCAGCAAGAATTATCGAAGAACTTAATAAGCTTCTAAATAATTATGAAATGTGTGCCAAGTTAAAATTAGCAGAAATTGTAGATGCAACTGAAATGGAAGTTGGAATTAAAGAGGAAAACGAAGTTAGTTGGAGAGAATTTATGATTGTTATTCGAACAAATCCTAGTAATGCCGTATTTGAAGCCACAATACGACATGATGGTCAATCTTGGACCCTAATTGGAACTGCCAGTCGTCTCAACTTATACGGAAGCCAAAGCCATTGTGTCAGTGACTCCCACCTTAAATTATACTGTTATTGTCTTTAAAAAATGATTGTAAATATTTATGTTATTTTTTTATTAAATACTTACAAAAAGATGTAAAATCTACAGACCTTTGAAAAAAAATACATTCACTTAATTATAATATTAGAATGAAATTGTAAGATTGTTTTGTTAATTTAAAAACAGTTTTTGTGTTATTTGTGCAACAGTAAATAAATGTTTATTTACATGAGAGACTTAATATTTACGAACGAGATAGGTACACGTCGCCATCAGCCGTCCCAATTTTAGTTTACTGGGCTCATTCTGATATTATGTATCTTTAATGTCCTTTAATTACGAAATTTAATATAACAAATATTACATTTTAAATAAAATACTTATTATATTATTAACACGTTCACTGCGTAACAGGCCGATATCAGCCTGCCGCGGTATTTCCGCTGGTGCGGACGAAGAAATCTATGTCCCTCTCGCTGTGCGTAACGATTATCTCAGGTGTTTGTAAAAATTCGACAGGGACAAATATATATTTCATCTTGCGGTCAAAACTGTAGGTTTTCCCCATCAAAACATAACGGCAGGCTTTTATCGACCTACCACGCACTGACACTGCTTTGCATCCGCTGAGTGTGGCAGTGGGCCTATTTCAGCCCGCCCTCCCAACAGGCAGCTGGCGACCCGGTACCGCACAGAGCGCGCGCCCGACCAGTTAGTGTTGTGCTATCTAACTGATCTAACATCGCGTTCGATATTATCAACGATGGCAAGCAATACAAGAAAAATAAAAATTTTTGAAAATAGAGTAATTCGCCTTGCAGTTATTGACAGTGATAGTGACAGCAGTGAAGAAATATTTTCCACTAAGAAAAATAAAAAGTATTTCTGTTTCCAAGACAGGCATACATAAGTAAATAAATACATTTTTCAGTTCCTTTATAATTCTGTTTTATTTTCGATATTTCTCTGTCCCATCACTACTAAAAATATATTCTAGTGCGGTCAGGTCGATATCGGCCTGCCCGCTTTTCCTGCTTTATTTCTCATTTCCTGTTTGCCAGATCGGGGAATCAAACCTAAGGAAGTTGGGTTCAAGGTCATTCTAACAATATAAAAAAAAATTTATACAATTATGTTTCCACAAAGTTATAGCAATTTAATCTATCCTAGTGCTGTTGGGTCTAGAAAGACCCCTGCCACGCACCGGCGGAAATATAATGGGGGCCCATGGGGTTTGGCCCGCCGTTAAATTATTATTATTTTACTAATAACAATAAATTATTATTTTACTTGCCGCAGTCGAACGTTAAAATACGAACGATTGCTAAACGTGACACCTGAGTAAACATAAGTAATATGAGAATTAAATGGAAATATAATATATTAAAAAAATATGTATTTAAATTTAATTCGGAATGGATATTGCAGCTGATCAAACTATTAAGTAATTAAATAAATGTTTAAAATATAATAAATGCCAAAAGTATGCTTTTTTTAGAACTTTTATCATGACATCTTATATTTGTTCAAATCTCACTTGATTCGTTAGCATGTCATTTGCAAGTTTAAAGAAAAACTTCCTTAACACGTAAAACTTTCCCAAATACGCACCGGTCCTATCGAGTGCCTGCCATATCCTTTTGATCTCGGCTATGAAAGTTACACACAATGCACGATGTGTGTAATTTTGTATACACACGTATCTGCCAAGTAAATGGCGAGTCTCAATAGATATTCAAAGGAGTTATAATAATTATAAAAAGATTTACCTGAATCAATATTCCTGCGACAACATTACATTATGCCCTGTATTTGTTTTCCGATGAATAAGTTTTATACATCCTGGGTAGAGCACCAGCTGTGTACCCAGGATCTTTGGTCAATACGCGCATTAAAGCATCTCTCGTACGGTGACGAAAAATTTGCCTAGCTGACCGCCTTATAAAAAGATCAATGAACCACAGGGATGTTGGCCTAATACCATTGGGCCTATAGCCGCCCGCCTAAAAATTTCATTCAAGGTTATTTTTACTTTTTACTAAATGGTGCACTTATTAGTGGCTTAGTGGTAAGGCTATTTGTTCATCTGCTTTATTCAGATAGTTTTATTACGAAGTGAAAGATAATTTCAGGGGCTATAATATTTAATGAATGTATAGATTGTGGACTCTTTCCAGACCAGATGAAGCTAAGTAAAATCACACCGTTATACAAAACGGGCAGCACTTCTGACCCGACATATTTTAGACCCATATATGTGCTGCCTGCATTGGCATGTGGTATGGAAAGTTCATTCACGAAAGTTCACATTTCAAGGATCGTCATGCCCGCTTTAATGGCATTACTTGTGGCGGCGTCCATGCGTCGGGTGGTTGCGTACAATATGGCGAGGGGGCCGATGACTGGCCATGCGTCATAATCGTAAACGGGTGCTACTTGTGGTGACTGGTCGAACTTGAATTCATGTATGCGGTGATGTTAGTTATTTTGACTATGTATTTGCTTGATGTTCCCACGAGAATGTAAGTGCATGCTATTATTTCACCATACCTTCTGCTGATAGAGGACAAATCTTTATATTTTTTATTATTAATTAACTATTAATCACTTAAAGATATAATGTGGAACACGGTGTAATAGTTGCTTCTACTTACATACATTTTGTAAAACAAAAAAATGTTGGCTATTAAAAATAGTGGCGGAGAGTTTATTGCCAGTTCTTCTAGTCCGTTCTACGCCCTTGTTTTGAGAACTGGCAGTAAATGTAAAATTAGAAGCATTGAATATGTATATCTTTATGTAAGTTCATAAGTGTACATTGTGTTAACTAAATTAATAAATGGTTTTGAATTTTAAACAATACGGTATTTTGTAATCCAAACTACACCTTGTTCTTAAGCGCAAGAAAATTTGAATTATTCTGTCGTTGTCAAATCCAGGAAATTATGAGTTAATTGTCATTAATAAATTTGACAGTGATAGATGCAGAAAATTTAATTTATTAAAAATATTGTAATTTTTCGTCATACAATAACATTATAAAACTTTTAATAAAAATGTGTACACATTAAATATATTGTTCAGTATTTCAACTATGGCTTTGTCAATAAGACTTTTATGTAGAAATCAACGTTATCTGCATAACATAACCAAACCGGTACAATGGAGTGTAAAAACGCAATTTTCCTTAAGAACCTTATCTAGTGGAATTTGTTATCAAAATAGTATTCTCCAGCAGCCTTTATTTGAAAAAGACTTAAAGCTATTATGGACACCGCTGAGGCCTTGCTCCACACAAAGCAATGATGGGACAAAACCATCTCAACCTGATCAGGACAAGAAATCTGGTCTAATACAGCGATTTAAGCAAATGTATAGAGATTATTGGTATGTTCTAGTACCAGTTCATATGGCTACATCAGCTGTTTGGTTTGGTGGATTCTACTATGCAGTCAGAAGGTAATTAAATTTGAAAATAGTTCTTGTTATATTGATGTATTTTTATGATGTATTTTAGATTGATCATATAGGCTGAATCTGATCAAGAAACAATTAACTTGACACAGGTAATTAATATTACTGTGTTGATAAGTGAAAGCCAAATATTATTTATATAAAACTTATTAAAAGTAAAGTATGATGAAATAATATGTAATTTCTTAATTACAGTGGTGTTGATGTAGTCAGCCTATTAGAATCACTTGGCGTAAGTGAAAAACTAATGGAGCCACTGAAACAATCAGGAGCTGGATATTTTGCCTTCACATTTGCACTTTATAAAGCAGCTACACCTCTAAGATATGCTGCAACTTTGGGTAATGTAGAATCACTTACCTACCTAATATGTAGTACATTTTTTTATATGTTTAGATTTTGATATTTGAGAAAATATGTATTAATTTCTCTTTATTATCTATCTCCTTTTATAATTTTTGTTACTACATAGTGAGAACTAAAGCCAGAGCTATTATTAAGTTGAAGTCTTAAATTTTATTATAACACACATGTTACTTCAGGTGGAACAACATATGCAATTAAGAAATTAACAACTATTGGATGGATTAAACCAGTACCTTCTCGTGAAAGAATTAAAGAGATGCTACAGGAAAAAAAAGATAATATTCAAGACAAATTCAATGAGAGCAAGCAACATTATCAAATACAAATTAAGGAAAAACAAACTCATGTTATTGATGAAATGCGAAGATATAAAACAGAAATGCGTAATATGAAAAACAAGATTAAGAAAATGTAATAGTTTTTTTTTAAATAAATATTTGTTATTATTATACATTTTATTGTATTTATGGCATAGCCAGTGCTTGTCTAGTATTTTTATTAAATAAAACATCAAATTACTAGATGTATTTATTGCTTCAATAAAATAAATATAAAATGCTGTTAAGGCTAATATAGTAACTTATTCCATTCAATTGTATTACCAAAATTTACAAATATTATTGAAATAATTAAGTACTATTACTGAGACAGCACTTATTTGGAATGTTTTAGAATGGCTATATTATTAGTCTAGGCAAAAATAAAAACAAACTGCAGGGTGTGCTGCCAAGTGTTATTAAAAAAAATGCATAAAATTTTAACAAGTAATACTTGAGAATTTGTATTTGTTTCATTTGTACCATTACCATAAATTAACCCTGTTTACATTGTATGTCTAATTCCCTTGTCCAATTGAGTTTCTGTTAATGGTACAAGTTTAAACTTAATTTCATAACAGAAAGCTGCTTTGCTTTAGACAAAATTTACTTCATTACAAGTGTCAGTCCAATTGCAGTAATCTTAAAAAAGAATATTACAAAATGTTGTTCATAGATTATCTTCTTTCAGACATTTCAGGGTCAGGTTTTTTCAGCAACATCTCTAATAAATGCAAATTTATTGCCTATTCAAAGGCCTCATAGTGGTTAATATGTAACCTATTGATATCACAAAGCATTGTAGGCAAATATCTTAATTTAACAAAATCACTATTCATTTTGAGATTTTAAATTACACTTAATTAAACTTAATCGTGACCATTTAAATCTCCTGTCATCATAAATTATAGAATGCAAAAAATTGCATGCTTGTACTTATCTATTATAAACATTTGATCTCTGCAATTTCTCAACAGTGAAAATCTTATCTATATCATAAATGTAATTTATGGCAATTACAATAACATTTTCATAGGATAATTATCCACACCTTAAAAATTATGCTGGTTCCTATCGCTACATTAAAATGAGCAAGACATTAATATACTACTTATCTCTTTTCTTTCAATTCCAAAGTGCTTTTTTACAGCTGCATACTCATACCATAATATACAGAATTTTATAATCATAGTTTCTATACAAAGCAATAACTTAACTCATTCAGATATCTATACCGTAATGTAGCCCTAAGCAATATATAAAACTATTAATTGAATTACGATTAAATTATTTCTTGTTACCTTACATTATAAAATGACTCCATTTTGATAACTATATTGTCAGGAAATTTCACAAAATGTTCTTCATTTGTAATGTCACCCTTATTTTATATTTGTGTTATGGAGCATGAAACGTACGTTTTGTTGTCAAACTCATTCCAGAGTTTTCGTAACGTATAAGCCGTTATTCACAAGCAGCAGCATTGATAGTTTCTTTTTGCACTTTTTAGTTTTTTAATGAGTCACCAACTTAGCCCATATACTGGTAGGAAGCTGGTGAAAGATGTGGCGCGGGCGCCATTCCAGGTCCTGATGCGGCACCTATCGTCGACAAATGGCAAGCCCGACACATAAGTTTACCTACAAAAAAATTAAAAATGGACAGTTCACGACAACATATAAAACTGCTAAGTTTGGAGTATTCAACAGCTGCCCTTCTAAAGATTTATCTTGGGAAAACAGGAATTATAAAAATTCATAAAAGTAAGCAATACAATCAATGAAAAACTATTTTGCAAATATGACTGATATTCTGGATATAAAACCTGCGCCTAAACACATACCTTCCCCCTTAGCTGAAATCTCAAAAGCCCAAATAATGAGTCAAGCAGAAAAAAGTGTTCTTCAGTTATCAGAGAACAGGCTTCCCTGTCTAAGAACTCACAATCTTTATTATGAGTAAATTGCCGTATTCCCGCCATATATAAATAAACTGCTTAAAGAAACAATACACAACCTGTTTCTGGGTTCGAATCCCAGCGAAACAATTATTGTTTTGGATAGCCACTGGCTAATCACCAGTAAACAAATAATCAACGAAACAGTTTCTATCTGCCTGGCTTTGGTTGCGGGACCTCGCAATCATCATAGGTTTATAATCACTTAAAGATAAAAATTAATAATAATTAGGGATAATAAAATTGACATAATTTTAACTTTTTTTTGAAGTTATGAGTAAAAAATTACCTGCTAATGGGTAGCATCGTTTATCGGGTTCGTCTGTCAGCTGCATACCACACACACAGCACATATAGCAATCAACATGGAAGTCCCTGTCCATTGAAACCACTCGGACTGTTTCATCTGTGCCCTCAACGGGTGTTATGCCTGGAAAAAACAACAAAAATTATAAATAAAAAAACTCTTTGCAAATACATATATATTTTCGAATTGAATTGGAGTGCTTGATATTGGTTAGGAATGTGGTTCTAAATGTTCAAATGGCAGATTATTCCTGGCTCATTTTGGTAGGGGAGCCCACGATGCTAAATGGGGATTTACTCGAGCGTCGTAGAGACCTATTGGGATACAAAGCTTAGATAAAAGAAGAAAAAATGTTATATGATAAATTCCTTTTCATCGGTGGGGAAGCGGCTATAGATAGTTAAATATGTAAAAAAAACTGTTGCATGGACATCCTCGAGCGCGTCAGATATTGATAGCATCTATGCCCTACGTATTTTTAATAATGTACGTATGTTAATCTGATCGTTTGCATGATGCGGGTGGTTGTATTTAAGGGTTGAAAATTAAAAAAAAAAAAAAATTATCGAGCGCGTCAGATTTTCTAAGGGAGTGTTAAGTGCACCAAAAAAATCTCTCATTCACTAATCTGACGATTTCGATGGGACGCAAACCCACAGCCATTTTCTTAATTTGCAAAAAAAAATCGCAATTTTGAAATACTCAACGCGTCAGATTAAGATATATGTGGTTCATCTTTATGTTCTAAACGTACTGTCTCATAATCTGACGATTATCTAGAGGGATTCGCCTGATCTGACAAAAAAAAAATAGAAAAACGGTTCACCTAAAGGGCCATCCCTGCAACTTCCCGCTAATTCCATTCCTGGGCGCTTAAAATTGATATTTTGAGCTCGCTGAGTTCAAAGAAATAACATTTCTATGCATTTGAGCTCTCCCAGCTCGAAAGTCTGATAGAAGTTTCATAGAACACTATTTTTGGAATTTTCAAACCGCAATAACTTTTGAATGGATCAAGCAATTTTCACGCGGTTGGCGGCATTCGACGCAGTTTTATCATTCTCATAAGTAATTTTGCAATTTTAATTGATCGAACCACAAATCCTCGGAGTAATCCCGAAAAAACACTTTTCGGGTTTCTTTCATGTACGATATCTCTCGAACGAATCAACCGCTTTTGACCAGCTTGGTGGCGATCGACGTGGTTTTTCAAGCTCAAAGGCGGATTAGTTTTTGAAGTTGATCGATAAAGAAACCACTTAAAAAAAAATATTTCTTATTTTTTTAAGATTTTTCAAAATTTCTCAAAATCTATCGGTCCGAATCGGTTCAAATTCACAGGAAATGTAATTTTGAGGGAAATATTTTGAACGCCGTTTAGTAGATTCCGATCGGTTTAAGGAAATGTAGGCATCACGCAGCTGCACGCATTTAACTTTATCGACGAATTTTTGTTATTTCGGCTTGCGGAAATCGTCAGATTATATATTTTTCATTATTCTGGAATTATTTCCTTCAAAATAAAAGAAAAATTAGCTACGCTCGAGAATGTCGAGATGACGTTTTTTTTTACAACTTTGTTGCCCTCCCCTTTTTTCCGTCACTCTCAAATTGTCAGATTAGTGGAATATACACTTTTTAGGATGTAATTAACTCACCCTACCTTAATCTGATGCGCTCGGGAATTTCTGATGGTAAATTTTTTTTACTAATCTGATCCTGTCTCCTTCACGCGCGGCCTTATGGTAGGGGAGCCCAAGAGGGGATTTCGGGATTTACTAAAGCGCGGCAGATTAATATATAGGGGGATACCTTGTACCCGGTTAAGTACCTCCACAAAATATGAGGCCCATATATAAGGCCGCCCGTGAAGGAGACAGGATCAGATTAGTAAAAAAAAATTGACCATCAGAAATTCCCGAGCGCGTCAGATTAAGGTAGGGTGAGTTAATTACATCCTAAAAAGTGTATATTCCACTAATCTGACAATTTGAAAGTGACGTAAAAAAGGGAGGGCAACAAAGTTGTAAAAAAAAAACGTCATCTCGACATTCTCGAGCGTAGCTAAATTTTTTTTTATTTTGAAGGAAATAATTCAGGAATAATGAAAAATATATAATCTGACGATTTCCGCAAGCCGAAATAACAAAAATTCGTCGATAAAGTTAAATGCGTGCAGCTGCGTGATGCCTACATTTACTTAAGCCGATCGGAATCTACTAAACGGCGTTCTAAATATTTCCCTCAAAATTACATTTCCTGTGAATTTGAACCGATTCGGACCGATAGATTTTGAGAAATTTTGAAAAATCTTAAAAAAATAAGAAATAATTTTTTTTAAAGTGGTTTCTTTATCGATCAACTTCAAAAACTAATCCGCCTTTGAGCTTGAAAAACCACGTCGATCGCCACCAAGCTGGTCAAAAGCGGTTGATTCGTTCGAGAGATATCGTGAACGAAAGAAACCCGAAAAAGTGGGATTCGTCGGGATTACTCCGAAATTTGTGGTTCGATCAATTAAAATTGCAAAATTACATATGAGGATGATAAAACTGCGTCGAATGCCGCCAACCGCGTGAAAATTGCTTGATCCATTCAAAAGTTATTGCGGTTTGAAAATTCCAAAAATAGTGTTCTATGAAACTTCTATCAGACTTTCGAGCTGGGAGAGCTCAAATGCATAGAAATATTATTTCTTTGAACTCAGCGAGCTCAAAATATCAATTTTAAGCGCCCAGGAATGGAATTAGCGGGAAGTTGCAGGGATGGCCCTTTAGGTGAACCGTTTTTCTAAATTTTTTTTGTCAGATCAGGCGAATCCCTCTAGATAATCGTCAGATTATGAGACAGTACGTTTAGAACATAAAGATGAACCACATTTATCTTAATCTGACGCGCTTGAGTATTTCAAAATTGCGATTTTTTTTTGCAAATTATGAAAATGGCCGTGGGTTTGCGTCCCATCGAAATCGTCAGATTAGTGAATGAGAGCTTTTTTTTGGTGCACTTAACACTCCCTTAGAAAATCTGACGCGCTCGATAATTTTTATTTTTTTTCATTTTCAACCCTTAAATACAACCACCCGCATCATGCAAACGATCAGATTAACATACGTACATTATTAAAAATACGTAGGGCATTGATGCTATCAATATCTGACGCGCTCGAGGATGTCCATGCAACAGTTTTTTTTTACATATTTAATAATCTATAGCCGCTTCCCCCACCGATGAAAAGGTATATATCATATAACATTTTTTTCTTCTTATTATCTAAGCTTTGCATCCCAATAGGTCTCTACGACGCTCGAGTAAATCCCCATTTAGCATCGTGGGCTCCCCTACCATTATATATGGGCCTCATATTTTGTGGAGGTACTTAACCGGGTACAAGGTATCCCCCTATATAGTAATCTGCCGCGCTTTAGTAAATCCCGAAATCCCCTCTTGGGCTCCCCTACCATTTGGTATATAAAACAAAGGCAGATGTCATAGAACACTTATTTGCCTAGAATCAAAATAATCTGAGCTCTAGGTACAGTTGTAGTTTAACTGCATTATTATGATTGGGTTAAGGATGGATGTTCGGTTTTTATATGTATACCCATCTGTTTTAGAAGCGACAAAAGCAAATTTTTGTAATTTTTATTTCAAAACTTATTTTATTGATAGCATTTTTATTTAGTTATCAAGCTTACGACATTATTACGCTTTATTTTGTTTTATACATTCTCTTTTAAGTTTTTTTTATCTTTATTTTATATAGTAATTCTTTTTTGTATTTCGTTTCATATAAAAAGTAATTTATGATAAGAGTGAGACCTTTTCCACAGCTGGCACACTTGGGTGCAAACATGCGATGATAATCATTGACACAGTATATCTTATTGTCAACATCAACAGTAAAGGGAACTCCGTCAAGGCATTCATTGCAGACACAACATCGGAAACAACCCGGGTGATATGATTTGCCCATTGCTTGTAAAATCTGAAATTAAGGACAATTTGTTACATAGAAGCTTATACAATAGAATAATAAATTTAATCATTAAAACCATATTATTTAATACATATATATTTCTTTAAACAATAAATGAATAGAAAACTTTTTATGTGAACAACTTTTAGATTTAAAAGCAACTTTAACCCTGCAAGTAGAAATTATACAAAGATTATTCCATGATAATATCCTGGACTAGGCGTGAAGAATGTACCTTCCTATATACATTAGGATTATTTTGTAATACTAAATTTGTTGTTTTTAGATTGCTGTAGTGTAGTCTCTACCAAAAAGATGCGAGAATTTAATATTATTGAAGATAATTTGTTTTGCTATGCCTAAAACAAAAGTTAACTAAACAATAAGGGCCTAGGTAGAGGCTAAGGATATATTACCGAATTGAAAAGAGTTAAATTATTTTATATAAGCATTCACTCAAAAGCAGGACAAATAAACTAATTATAAAAAAATATATAACACTGTGATAGTTAGATGAGTTTAATAAGATAAAATCTTTTAGATCTGTGTTACTATATAATTCCCAGGATGAAATCTGGTCTCGGGTATAATGTTGGATAGACTTTTAAAGCTGGGTTTAAGTGGAATAATTATAAAATTAACTCAATACATCTTTGTTTTAAGTGTTAATAAATCATAAAAAGTGCACACATACCATTTCCATTATAAGATGGCCGCAAATAGCACATTTTTCTGCAGTTTGTTGAAAACCAGAATACTGAAATATATAAAATACAAAACTTATTCTATTTATTGGCACAATTCAATCCACAATGCATGTTATGTCAGTAAATTTAAATAAAATATATGCATTTAAGGCCTTATTTACATGAAATAAATCAGTTTGCTACCACCATTTCATTTCATGATCAGAATCATCTGACTCTTATTATCATTAAGTAAACACAATTTTTTATAATGAATTTAATTTGTAATATGTTCTTAAGTAAACCCTTTTAATAAGTCTTGTAAAAGGATAATATTTTAAAAACTAACCAAATAGTCTTCCTCGCAATATACTTTTCCATGAACATTGTAAAATGCTTTTCCTCTAAGAGCCCGACCACATGAACAACAGATAAAACAGTTGGTGTGATACAAATTACCCATTGCCTGGCATGCTTGACCAGCTCCTGTTACTCCAGTGCCGCATGTGTGACAAATACCTGAAGAATATTTGTACATAAATATATATATGTATATGAATTGTACATATACATATTTAATAAATGTAACACTTATAAAATATTTTTGCAATATGCTTTTAGTATCTATTGAGTATATTACTAATCTAGGACTTAAAATAATGCAGACTGTCACTATGGCACAAACAATAAAACAAAAACCATCCTTTAAAAAAAGTTTTTTTTCTTTGAGGAAACAATATAAAAAGTATTTTGAAGAATTAAAACAGCCTGTGTATCCACTTATTGTTAATGGCTGTACATATACATATTTTACATACTATTGCGCTTAAAGAAAAATTAGATTTGACTAATAAGTCAAGAAGTCCAAACAGTCAAGACAATCATAATTTTTAAAATTTTGTGTCAGAAATTACAGTTAGTTTTACTAAAAAATATATCAGAAAAACTTACCAAAGTATTCTCCTTCTTCATCTTGCCTTTCCATTTCCTCTTCTAGTTGCCTGGTCATTTCTTCTATTTTTCGCTGAGCCTCACTGGGGCCTTGAGGGCGGGGAGGAGTTATACTGTATGGAAGCAAGCTCTTTCCTCTTCCCCCAGAGCCTCTTGATCCACCCGATACTTGTGACATAGAGCTGGGTGTTGGACTCGGTGCTGGTGATTGGGCAGGTGAACAGAGAGATGTTCTTGTAGATGTAAGATTTCTAGATCCCACAGATTCTGATAAAGAGACATTGTCTCTACTTGCTGCAGCTACAGCTGATGCTGATGTTCCACCAGTCATGCAAACATAGTCAGAACCATTTGTATCATCAACAATTTGCATCCTACCAGCTTGCATTTTTAAATTTAGGTTATACCCATTTGCCACTGTTTGTTTAATTTTCCCAAGTCCATTACCTAGCAATGGCTTCGGGTGAAAAAATTTTGGAGCAGGCACAGCTGTTTGGACTTCTGTAGCTATGTTTGCTTTTGGTCGTTGAGCACTAGGGGCTATTGAAGCATATATTGCACTTGAAGGCTTAACACTTGTAACCTTATCTTCAATACTAGTCAGTTTATTGTCAGTTTTTAATAGTGAACTCACATCACTGTATTTCGGAGGAGCAGATTTCATTATTGTGTAGTCACCACATGATGTGTCCTGAGATGAGTTATATGGTGGAGGTGGTGGGATTTTATCTAGCTTACATTTATCACTTAAAATATTTTTATTCAGACTAGTGTTTGGGACTTGAGGCCCTGGAGTTGAGCTCTGTTGTATAAAGTGTTGGTTTGGAATTGCCTGTGTTTTAAAGTCAGTTTTTTTTTCATTATCAGAACAAAGCATGTTCTCATAGACAACTGGTTTTGGTTTTGTGTTTACTGGTACTTGAGGCTGTGCCTTACTGTATCTGGTGTCGTAGTAGCTTTCAGGGACCAAAGGGGGTGCCTGTTGGTATAGTTGATGATAGAATGGGGGTGGAGGCAACTGTTGCTCACCGTAATAGTCTATATTTTCATACACAGGGGGCGGATACGAAGCATTCGTGTTACCTGGTATTTCATATAAGTCTTCTGTTTGATAGCTTAAAGACCTTTGTGATATTGATTCTATTGAGCGCGTAGGGCTGGGCGGCAGGGCAGTGGCATTGATATCGCGTTTGTTTATTGAAGCAATAGTTTCGACGCGCTTAGGTGTTGCGTATTTAGAAGCTGCTATTACGTTAGAACGCTCATAAAAACTGTAATCTTGACGATTATTTGGATTACTATCTAAAGTAAAACTTTCAATCGCGCCCACGGGCCTGTTTTTTGTCTGCGCCGCTAAGTTAGATGTCGTTGCACTGTGCGCCTGCTCAGTTTCATTTTCGTCTTTGTTCGATATTTGCAAGTCTTGTAGTCCGATTACACATCGTTGTTCTTCCACATTATTTCTTCTTGGAAAGTCCATTGTCCCCGAATTAGTTATTTAAAACCTATAAACTATAAATATGTACAAGAACAATAATATTGATAAATGAATGATTCATAGTTGTTATAATAACTAATGGATGATGGATCTAACTTCTACATTGATTTAGTAGTTGCGAAGGAACAAATAGAGAGCTTTAGAAATATGCTAGGTAAAAAATTATAAAAACAATTATGTATTAAATAAATCTTAATCAGTAAATAATCACATTATTTTCAACCGCGCAGCTCGCAGAATACAAATGAAAATAATACACAATCTGTGAATGTTATCTTTAGTTTATCTGTATCAGTAAGAAAATTATCTGTTTCATATGTCGTGGTACTCATAGGGATGTGACATTCTGCATAAAAAATCGATTTTTTATTAATCGATTATTTTTGTAGCATTAATAATCGATTTTATTAATTAATCGATTTTTTTCCTAATTTTTAATTAATTTCAAATAAACACCCTAAATATTTTATTTTTCATAGTTTTTTAAATTAAAAATAAACAATAGAAATTATAAACACAAATTAACGTTTAAGAATAATCAAAATCGAAATTAACTTAATCTCGTTTTGATAGATTTTGATAAATGCTGAGTGTATTCCTTTTCAGTAGCACATTGCAGTATTTTTGTTGTCTTTTTAATTGTATGTAGTCTTGTGCTGCTGAAAAAAAAATCGATTATTTTTTCACATCCCTACCGGTGGTAGTATGCCTGTATTATCCTGTATCCAACATAATATTATATAATTTATAATAGGTTGACTGAGACACGCAATTTAAGGTTTTCTAATATCGTTTCTCTCGGTAGCTCTTAAAAAAATACAAGGTGTACATGTTATGTATATCATGCGACACCGATCCCGACGTTTTTGTATGTAATTTCGATGTAGTTCTCACAATATCCATCCACGGAACTTTGGGATCTCGCGGTACAAAACACATTAATGAGTTTGGTTTCGCTGTTGGAAGTTACAGAGAATGGGTTCGGGAACTGGTGGTATAATTGCCTACTAGAATTTGTTGTTTAAAATATACAGAAGCTAAAATAATATTAAGATATTTTAACAATTTGATTTGATTGATTTTTAACAATTATAAGTGCAAAATAAAACATGGTATGAAAATAAAATCGTAAATATAATTATTGAAATAAACACTTATTTCAATAAAATGTATGTGTGGTGTCCATGCAAACTCTAAGGGCGTGACCAAATATAGCGCCGCATTCGAGCTGCAGCAGTTTATCCAAGTGCCGGGCGCTTTATTTAGTGCAGGTGCAATGTGCATTCGCATTAGGGATGATCGATATTAGAAAAACATGAATATTATAATCGAAAGCCCAACATCGATGGTCGATATTTATCGAAAACCGAACATCGATGATTTTTGCACTAATAATTGACAAATAAATAAAATACAGTGAAATGGTTCGAAATTTATGAAGAAACAGAACCAATTATCACATATTTCGATATTTTTTATCAACTGACTGAATGTAAAGTAATTTTGATAAAGAAGAACCTTTTAAATCTATTTCTTGGATGATATAGAGTAGTGAGGAAGTAAAAGAGAAAGAGCGAGCGAGACTACGAAGAACGAATGAAGTGAACGACCGGTGCGCAGTGATGAGTGAATAATTACGCGTTCAACATTTTAATAAACCTGATTTGTGGATGCGTTCATAGAAGACTTAAATTTTTTCATAAGTTGCATGGGTCGTGCCGAGGCCGTGACTTAATATTGATGTTCGATTCCGTTAACAACGATGTTACGATATTTTTCGTATAGCAACATTGATGTTTTTGCTTTCAAGTTTCAACATCGATGATCATCGAGCATCCCTAAAGTCGGAAACACACTTATGTGTCGTGGCGTGTCGTGACGCGCCAGAAGCATATTGGTTTCATACATTTAATATGATTAGAAACATATTTGTCTGTTGTGTCGTGTCGCAACACATTCTGTCGTGGCGCCGACTGCTCGCCACCGATTGCGCCAGATGCCACCACCATGGTGGGGGGTTATGACGCGACACGACACAACAGGCAAATGTGTTTCTATACCCGCGCGTGGCACGTGGCGCGAAAATCTAGCGGGTACTTTTTAATTTACTATATTTGCAGCAAGTTATATATGACTCAGAGGGTAAAGAGTACAGGGATCAATTGATCAGAAATGCTGCTTGGGAAGAAATTGCTGAAATTTTAAAAGAACCCGGTAAGTCAATAAAATAGTATTTAGAAGTGTCATTGCTAAGAGAAATTGAAGATCTTCATCAAAATCACTATCCGAATCAGAAGAAAACATTATGTATGTTTGAACGCTGCAAAGGTTCGTTAAGTACTGTTCAAAAATAACGCCAGAGTACGCCACGACACGACACGTCAGTGTGCACACTCAGTCACGACAGTAAGCATCACGACACGCCACGACACGTAAGTGTGTTTCCGCGGATTCGCATTGAGCATTCGTTGTTCATTGTTGTGTCCTACGAATGCCGCATGTCGTTGCCGCGCACATTGCACGCCCTGTTTGGTCACGCCCTAATATTGATGGGAAAAGCTTAATATACAGAAGGTAGAAAGATGTAATTCTGAGGCCACTGTGTATTGTGTAATATTTTTAATATTGCTGCACTAGCTTACTAGCGAAAGTGACATACTTTAGAGGCAGTTGCTAACTTTTATTATCTATATATTATGTGACATTTGTCGATATTTGCGGTTTGTAGTAGGTGACAAAACGCTGCCGCTAGTCTGTACTCTGTTGTCAATCTAAGTATCATCGTGATTCGTGATTCCGCCATGTTGACTATTTAGTATTTAGTGAATGTTGCACAAACAACGCGCAGATGTAATATTTTCCTTACTCAAATAATAAATGATTATATTATATAATTATTAAGCAAATGCTTAAGAAATAAGTATTTTATCCTGTATAAGGAGGTCAGTTTTCATCCAATAACGTTTTCTATGATTTGTTACTCCGCTAGTTTAAATAATTTACGCATTGCACTTTGTAGGTTCCTTGAAGTTACCGCTCAAAACCCAAGATGTATGATACAGAAGAAGATCAGTATGAAGAGGAAGATGTGGAAGAAATATCATCAGAATTGTGGCAGGAAGCTTGCTGGATAGTAATTAACGCGTATTTCGATGAAAAGGGTCTAGTAAGGCAGCAATTAGACAGTTTCGACGAGTTCATACAAATGTCCGTACAAAGAATTGTTGAAGATTCTCCTCCTATTGAACTCCAGGCTGAAGCACAACATTCTTCTGGCGAGATAGAAATTCCGCCTAAATATCATTTGAAGTTTGACCAGATTTACTTATCCAAGCCAACACATTGGGAAAAAGATGGTGCTCCATCGCCAATGATGCCCAATGAAGCACGATTGCGTAATTTAACTTACTCTGCGCCTTTATATGTCGACATTACTAAAACAATTATTAAAGAAAATGAAGATCCTATTGAAACACAGCATCAAAAAACTTTTATTGGGAAAATTCCCATTATGTTGAGATCCACTTACTGTTTGCTTAGCAATCTTACTGACAGAGATTTGACTGAATTAAATGAGTGTCCTCTGGATCCTGGTGGTTATTTCATTATAAACGGCTCGGAAAAGGTGTTGATTGCTCAAGAAAAGATGGCAACAAATACAGTATATGTTTTCAGCATGAAGGATGGAAAGTATGCTTACAAAACTGAAATTCGTTCTTGTTTGGAACATAGCTCTAGACCAACTTCTACCCTTTGGGTTAATATGATGGCTCGTGGTGGACAAAGCATAAAAAAGTCAGCTATTGGTCAGAGAATTGTTGCTATTGTTCCTTATATTAAACAAGAGATTCCTATTATGATTGTATTTAGAGCTCTTGGTTTTGTAGCGGACAGAGATATTTTAGAACATATTATTTATGACTTTGATGATCCTGAAATGATGGAAATGGTAAAACCTTCCCTAGATGAGGCATTCGTTATTCAAGAACAGAATGTGGCTCTAAACTTTATTGGAGCTAGAGGAGCAAGGCCTGGTGTGACTAAAGAAAGGCGTATAAAATATGCTAGAGAAATTTTACAAAAGGAAATGTTACCTCATGTTGGTGTTTCAGATTTTTGTGAGACTAAAAAAGCTTATTTCTTGGGCTACATGGTACATAGGTTACTTCTAGCTGCTTTAGGTCGCAGAGAACTTGACGACAGAGATCATTATGGAAATAAAAGGTTGGATTTAGCTGGACCATTGTTAGCTTTTCTGTTTCGTGGATTATTTAAGAATTTACTGAAAGAAGTAAGGATGTATGCACAGAAATTTATTGATAAAGGCAAAGACTTTAATCTGGAATTAGCTATTAAAACAAAAATTATCACAGATGGTTTAAGGTACTCTCTTGCTACTGGTAACTGGGGCGACCAAAAGAAAGCTCACCAGGCTAGAGCTGGTGTATCGCAAGTGTTAAACCGGTTGACATTTGCATCAACATTGTCACATTTGCGAAGAGTTAACTCACCAATTGGACGAGATGGTAAATTAGCTAAGCCTCGACAACTTCACAATACACTTTGGGGTATGATATGTCCTGCAGAAACACCAGAAGGCGCAGCTGTAGGTCTTGTAAAGAACTTGGCACTAATGGCTTATATTTCTGTTGGAAGTCAGCCATCACCAATTTTGGAGTTCTTGGAGGAGTGGTCTATGGAGAATTTGGAAGAAATAGCACCATCGGCTATTGCAGATGCTACAAAAATATTTGTAAATGGGTGTTGGGTAGGAATACATAGAGACCCAGAACAATTAATGGCTACTTTGAGAAAACTGAGACGTCAAATGGATATAATTGTATCTGAAGTCAGTATGATCCGTGATATTCGGGACAGAGAAATAAGAATTTATACTGATGCCGGAAGAATTTGTCGTCCATTATTAATTGTTGAAAATGGAGCACTTTTGCTTAAGAAAAAGCATATTGATCAATTGAAGGAAAGAGATTACAATAACTATGGTTGGCAAAATTTAGTAGCAAGCGGTGTTGTTGAATACATTGATACTTTAGAAGAGGAGACAGTTATGATAGCTATGAGCCCTGATGATTTAGCTCAAGTTAAAGAATATGCTTACTGTACAACTTATACCCATTGTGAAATCCATCCAGCTATGATATTAGGAGTTTGTGCATCAATTATTCCTTTCCCTGATCACAATCAAAGCCCCAGAAATACATACCAGAGTGCTATGGGTAAACAAGCTATGGGAGTGTATATTACCAACTTCCATGTCAGAATGGACACCTTAGCCCATGTGTTGTATTATCCACACAAACCACTAGTCACAACAAGGTCTATGGAGTACTTGCGTTTCCGTGAATTACCGGCTGGAATCAATTCTATTGTTGCTATTTTGTGCTACACAGGATACAATCAGGAAGACAGTGTCATTTTGAATGCTTCAGCTGTGGAAAGAGGATTCTTTAGATCTGTATTCTATAGGTCTTACAAAGACTCTGAGTCTAAGAGGATTGGTGATCAGGAAGAACAGTTTGAAAAGCCTACTAGACAAACATGTCAAGGAATGAGAAATGCCCTGTATGACAAGCTGGACGAAGATGGCATTATAGCTCCTGGCATAAGAGTATCAGGAGATGATGTTGTGATAGGAAAAACTATTACTTTACCGGAAAATGATGATGAACTTGAGGGAACAACCAAACGTTTCTCAAAAAGAGATGCATCAACGTTTTTGCGTAACAGTGAAACTGGTATTGTCGATCAAGTCATGTTGACATTGAACAGTGAAGGTTATAAATTCTGCAAAATCAGAGTACGTTCAGTGCGCATTCCCCAAATTGGCGATAAGTTTGCCTCTCGCCACGGGCAAAAGGGAACATGTGGAATTCAATACAGACAAGAAGACATGCCTTTCACTTGTGAAGGATTAACACCCGACATTATCATCAACCCGCACGCTATCCCATCTCGTATGACAATTGGTCACTTGATTGAATGTATTCAAGGGAAAGTATCATCGAACAAAGGCGAAATCGGTGACGCAACTCCCTTTAACGACGCGGTAAATGTGCAAAAAATTTCATCTTTATTGCAAGAATACGGCTATCACCTTCGTGGTAATGAAGTAATGTACAATGGACACACTGGAAGAAAGATAAATGCTCAGGTGTTCTTGGGGCCTACTTATTACCAGCGTCTTAAGCACATGGTGGATGACAAAATACATTCACGAGCTAGAGGACCTGTGCAGATTTTGGTTAGACAACCTATGGAGGGAAGGGCAAGGGACGGCGGTCTACGTTTTGGAGAAATGGAGCGTGATTGTCAAATCGCTCACGGCGCAGCGCAATTCTTACGAGAGAGGCTATTTGAGGTATCAGATCCATACAGAATCCACGTCTGCAACTTCTGCGGTCTCATAGCTATTGCTAATCTTAGAAATAACACTTTTGAATGTAAGGGGTGTAAAAACAAAACCCAGATTTCACAAGTAAGACTACCCTATGCCGCGAAATTATTATTCCAAGAATTGATGTCTATGAATATTGCGCCAAGGCTTATGGTAGTTAATTAACTATGTCGTAGTCTAAGTGACTTTAAAATTGTATTGATTGAATAAATAAAATTGTTTTATAACATTTTATATGACTTTATTATCAAACCACAACATTAAATGCAGCTTAAATACAACAGATATAAAAATGAACATTATTTTAATTGCACTTTCTTAACTACATTCACAATAGACAAAACATAGAACTGAGGTAAAGGACTGTATTGAATTCATAATTTATAAAGCTTGTGTGCTTATTAGCGCAATTCATTAAATAAATTTTAATGAGAATCCAACATGTATAAATATAATTTATAAATATTTACAATTGATTAAAACTAGCATTAAGTAAATAGTACAGCTAGGAAGAATAGGATACCTTTTTTATAGATATGTAAGTACTAAAACAACTATCACGATGGATCTATTTAAATTATGTGAATTAAAAAACAGCTTAAGCATATATTCTATTCGGGTGAGGTTTCAGTTCTCACTTTAAGTTTATAACATTAAATCATATTTCTTGTTTAATGCCACTACTTTGGTAGTTTGTATATTTCTTAACTGCCCCGGATAAAAATACAGCAGATACGAAAAAACGCTTATGATAGGCAGAGAGCTTGTTCTTCGATGGAGTCAAAATTTTAAATACTATATAATGAGGTGAGATTAGACAAAATGTATTTTAAACACTAGCAAAACTAAATAAACCTTGAAGCACCAAATATCGCTGTACAACGATAACAAAAATCATACTTTGTAAAATGGTACATTTCCAAAAACATACGAACTCGAATTTACTTTTTTTCCTTGCGTACACTGGTGATAATATAATAATGGCTCATTGTCTTACAAATCTTTCTTAGATACTAAAAATAATTATATCGTATCATTAAATGCAATATTGATTTAAAAAATTGTTGTGTGTCGATACATACAAGGATAAATTAATGCGTGAGTTGTATCAGTGTACTAAATATATATTAAATGGGCTGTCTTGTATAATTTGTTAAAACTACTTTATTATTTCAGTAAAAACATATAAAAGTCAAGGCGAAGTTTCTAGGAGAAACCCTTCTATTTTGGCTTACTCTTATCGAGTAGAAATAAAGTTGACAATGTTATGTACCAAACCATGTGATATATTAACCATGTTATTGTTAAAAACCCAGTCAGTTAATACTGAGTTTGTATCAATAAAACAAAATTTTAACTATATCTGTCTCTTGTTATTCTAGCGTAGACAGAAAGAGATAAACGTACCCCTGAGTACTTTAGATAGAGTTAGTTATAAATATTTCTTATATTGACGATTTATTACTAAGAATTTCAGTTCGGAGCTGGTAGAGCTCTTTGTTCTTGGCTGTCTTCTTCTCGAGGTCGACTCCATTTAATCATGGTCTCCGGCGACCGATATAGGAAGACCAGTTTTGCGAATAGATCTTCTTCTAATGTCAATTCGAGAGCTTCACGCACCTGAAAAATACGTACGTTCGTAAGTACGTGCCACAATTTTTATATTATTATTAGAATTCAATTAGGAATTCTACTTATAGTTTTTGTGAGGTAAAGTAGTTACGTATGTTGCTGTACAGCAAAATTTTGGCATTTTTATCAAAAATGTGCTTTGTGAAAAAATACTTTTCTTCGTGTTATTTTGCAAACTAACAAGTACTGGGAATTATAATTCTAGTCAATTTAGTATAGAACATAAATTTGAATTTAATTATTTAAAATTAAGTTCTGACATTAATTTTCACAACTTGCAAATCTTTACAACAAAAGAAAAATTAGATTAGTAGATTAAATAAAACAATATTTGTATGAATGTTTTATAGTTTCCAAATCTTACCAGATAAATATCAAGGCAGAGTTGCAACACTCTATCGACGTTGGGCAGATCGTCGAACATAATCTTTGTGTAGATGCCAGAGAAGAAGCCGCGAAGCACTCGTGACGCCAGAAACACGAATGTTGTGTATAAACCGATTATACTGAAAATAAACAATAATCACGTGATCACTCAGTATTATATAAGTAAAATCCGATATGAAATGGAATTTGATTTAAATAACAATGTATAATAATTAACATAAAATCTATATAATGAAAATGGATAGAAAAATATGTTGCTAAGCGGAAATGTCGAAGATTTTCCAATACTTTTTTTTTTAATTTATTCCTTGAACTGTGAGGAACACTTGAATATTTGGAAAAATTGCAATGAAAAACGTAAAAAAATGTCATGCAATATGTTCCATATGTTAGTATTTAACTACTAAAAAGGTAGGTTATATACATTGATATACAAAAACCCAAGATGCACAATCAACGTCTAAAAAACGTCCTCAAAAAATGAGCGCAACATTCTAAATTGTGCGCTCATTTCAAATAGTCTCGCGTCTATAAGTGGAGTCGATGTTATTTATTTGTGTTTTTTTTATAAATAAATTTATGTACTCTTGAACTTTTTTGTGTGTAGTTTTTGACAAATATATTTACGCTATATAAAGTGTGGGTCAGGAGGTAGCCAATTTAACATTTTTTTTTAATTTAAAGAAAAACTTTTTAACCGGATTAATGTTACGTATTATTATAAATTTACAACTATTTAACATCCAACACCTTTTGTCTTCAGTCACCGTGACCACTCACGCTGTAAAACACCCGAAAAGTCGGATAAATTTAAAATTATGTTAAATAGTTGTAAATAAAAAAGTCATGTTCGACTCCACTCAATACCTTGTCCTACCGACCACGGTCGGTCGTAAAATTTTATTGCTTTAAGTACGTATACACTGCGTTGTAATAACAACTTTAAGCAATTCGCGTAAGGTTGATTTTGCAATAATATATGCTTGTAACATATACTGTTATGGACAGAAATAGTGTTTCGGGACACTTTCGAGCGTTACTTTTATTCGAGACTGTGCATCTTGGGTTTTTTGTATATCAATGGTTATATATAAAAAAAAAGGGTGCGTGTAGTTATTTACGCGCGTAAGAACTTATACTTCTTGGGCATTATTAAAAATAGTTTTTGATTGATTAAATAATCAAAGACTAGAAAAGGAGTCGTTATAGTCAATTAAGTTCAGTTTACATTTGAAAAATTAAATAAATAAATATTTATTATTATTCTCTTACATTAAGTGTAACATTAAATTCATTATTATCTTCCGTTGGCAACTTCATTCTGTTAATTTTGTGTCACGGTGCGCGCGCATCGTAAAATTTCCCTCTCATCAATTTTTCATAACGCGCCTAAAGAAGTATAACTTCAAAAACATATTAAGGCGAAACGATATTCGAAGGGGCAGTTTTAAGTATTATAATTAAATTCATTAAAATTATTAATAATTATTATTTTTCACAGAAGATAGATTGCTAAGAATTTTTGAGTCTCACTAGTACGTAAGTAATCTAAAGCCAGTCAATTTGTAACGCTCTTATTTTATTCAATGTAGCCACGAAAAATCCCGACACCTGACACATTTTTGTGTACGAAGTTCTGTACGTACGAAGCGAAATATTAACTAACAATAATTCAATTAATTATGTCTCACCCGCCACCAGATATAAAGTTGAGTGTCTCCGGAAACAGTTTGTCGTTAAACGTATACATTACGAGCATGTCGCAATTGTTCATTGGTATTGACGCTAGCGGATCCTGAAAAGTAATATAGAAATTATTATCTCCATCAGAGATGAAACTCCCAAAACCTCACTCCTATTTGTTAGTTGTTATTTATATTATAAGTTATTTGTTTAACTTAAAAAGGAAATTATCAGTTTGTATACGATATTATTGGAATTAGATATTTGAGTTAGACTTCCAAGCAAGCGTGATTTTTTTTATAAGTGAATCCGAAACTAAGTCATACCGAGATTATCCTTTTAATCGAACTTAGGTCACTTGGAATATGTTTTGCCAAATCAGTTTATAAGATTTATACATATCACACACATTTATGGTAGGGACGTGTATAATATAAGTATCTAGGTAAAGAATAATTGTAAATTCAGCTGATTCTCTTATTTCAAGATTGAGACATTGGCGCTAGCGGTATCTTGAGAACAACATCGAAATTACATCCAAAAACTTCAATCGGTATTGCTATCGAAAGTTGCAGCGCAGAAATAAAAAAAATACTTTATTAAACACTAGACGTCGGCTTCTCACGTCTAAATATTTATATTATTAAATATAGTTTTTGTAAATATTTATGTCATCTACAAAATCACTTTGTTCTATTGTCAAAAGTTACCGCAGCGTTCGCGTTTTATAGATTTTTATTGATATATTTTTCACTAGGGTCACATCAAACATTTCATACAAATCCCTAACTTCTTTTTAATTTTCTATAGCCAGGGGATAATTAGGATTCTAATTGTGAAAAAAAAAATCTAATCGATCCGGTACTTTTGGAGCCTATCAATATCTATAATTCATTTTTATAATATTAGTTTAGATATAATATGTTCTGTGTCCAGTTTGTGTTTCCACCACAACAACTTCTTCCTATTTAAGAACATGTATACAATATATAAATAAATAAAAATAATTAGAAAAAAGATAAGTACATATTTACGTTACGCTTACGTTAGAGTATAGCCAGACGCAGGCACTCTCTTGAACATTAGAAGCACAGCATAGCATTTTTATTTCATAGCATTTAAAATTTAATTAGCATTATTTTTGTTGAGTGGTAAATATAGAGCGAAAACAATATCCTCTATCATTTAAAACATCCCGTTAACCAAGAAGCCGTACATACCCTTTCCTCGCAAGATTCATGTACCCTCCAATAGCTTGTATTTCTGTCTCTTTCCAAACGTAATTGTACGTTTCGATAATATCTTGAGTCTTCAACATCTGAAAGATTTGTACGTTTATTTAAGTAGCACAATTATTAATTTAAAAACAATATATTATTCCTATTAACATCATCAAAACATGTTTATCATTACACATATGAGGGTGTCGCATTCCAGAACATCAATCAATGCAACCTTCAAGAGCTGCCAATTTTTTGAAGTTATACTTCTTTAGGCGCATTATGAAAAATTGATGAGAGTGAAATTTTACGATGCGCGCGCACCGTGACAAAAAATTATCAGAATGACCATAATGACATTTGTAGTACCTTTTAAACAATAAAGGAGTTTTAATTATTTTTTTAAAGAAATTTAGCAATGCTTTTTCACAAAGACCTATTGTTACTTAGTTAAAAGGCTATAAAACATACCTAGTTATTAAATTGAATGAATAATATAATAAAATAATCATTATTATATATAATTGATATATACTAAATTTAATATTATTAAATTATTAACGTTAAATATTTATTATTATTTAATATATAAAAAAATAAAGAAAGCTAAAGAAGTATAACTTCTTACGCGCGTACATAAGTACACGCACTCTTTTTTTGTATAAACTTTGCCATAGTTCGAATTAGAATACGCAAAAACCGACAAAGCGGAGCGAAAGCGAGGGGATACGAGAGTACCTTCCACACTCTCGAACTCGGTTCCCCTCGTGGAGTGTGGATAGGTTAAGTGGTTTTCAGTAGACTCGCGCATAAAATTCTTGGGTAGATTATTTTCCATTAGGTTAGGTTAGGTTTATAGGTTTACTACTACTACTAAAAAAAGGATTTTCGTCGTTACATTTGGACGTTTAAAAAAAAGGAATACGGAAACGAAAATATAACGTCAGAGATAAGACGTATTAAGAGAATAGGATGTCATTTGTTTTATTAGCAACACCACGCAGTTTATAAATTATCAATATGTCTAGGTGCGATCGTTGAGTTGCTCTCCGATCGGCGGCTGCGCCAGACGTGCACACTGACTTATTTTAAAATAAAATCTAAGTGTCGGACGACCATAGGGAGTGATAGATATACATACCATTAACACCAATAGCCGGCATCAATTGGAAAGCCGGTTTTGTGGTACCCTTGTTGAACACCTTCACGAATTTCGGGAACAAGAGTTTAACGTTTAACCTGAAACGATATTATTAACATGAAGCTCATTATTACGGCTATTATAATAATTATTTCTTTTAAAGCAAGTATAACTGAAGATAGCTTATAAAAACATCTTAGGATGACTTTCTAAAAATTTAAACAATCTCCAATGTCAATGTTCGAATAGAAAAACTGACTGAAAAATCTCGAATCGATTGAAGTTTAAGAGACGTTCTGAAATACGGGCCTGAAAGACATAGTTTATTGGCAGCACTTTCTGTAACGACGAGATCGCAGACCATATTTTCTTATAAAACAAAATTTTATTTTTCTTAGACTGGTATTGGCAAGTGAAATAATTTTAATTTCAAGTTAGAAATACCTCCCGCTCACCTGTGTGATTTACTCAAAAACAAAAAGTTATAGTAGGTATATTATATAAAAAAAAACGTTATATTTACGTTATTTAATTATACGTTAAAAGTACCGTGGGGATGATTTAAATAAACAAGCGAAACTTTTAAATTAATAAAATTACACGCAATTAAAAATAGGTGCCCGAAAATAAGATTTGGCTTAAAAGTCTCGTTAACAGGCCAATCTTATAAAAGAATCTATTGGCAGCGCACTGCTCAATTTGTTCCACATTTAAAATTATTAAGACGTTGACATGAGCTTTAAGTTCTATAATAATTTTATTTATTCCTTGAGCTCTGAGAAAGGTTTTTATGGAGTGAAAAATTTAACGAAAACCTAATATCCGGTTTTTATTTCGGCAAACGCGAACAGAATAGCAAAATGTTTCATAAGTTGGCATGTACCTACTAAAACGTAGGCTAAGTAAAAAAATCATATTAAGGCGAAAAGAAGTTCGCGGGGGTAGATAAAAAGAACATTTTGGAGTTTCAGAGGTCACTGTGAAATGGTTTTTAAAAACCTTGTAAATAGCTTAAAAAAAGACTACAATAAGACAAAAATATACTATATCTTACCAAAGGTCAGGAGAAGCTGTCCCAGCCAGTAGCTGAAGTAATGTATCTCTCTCGGGATTTTTCTTCCCGTTTACATAAGCGTCGAGCGGGACTTCACGATTGTTCTCGATTGTTGGCGGATTTTGTGGGTTGTTACTCGGATGAGTTATTACGTATGTGAATTTGACTAATAATGATGAATCTGTAATAAAAAAATATTGTTTTAGTAATATTACTTAAGGCTTTTAGGATATCTGATGTAGGGAAATGATGTAAAGCGAAGCCCTATTTATGATAGATTTTTATGAAAATATTATAAGAAAAAAAGTTGGTTTGATTCCGCTAATCTCAAGAACTACTAATTCCAATAAAACATTATTTTTTCGTCCGTATTATTACTACCACAGGACTACCTTTATTTTTTTTTAAAGCTCGGTAGATTTTACAACAATTTTATAATTAAAATGATATTTTTATGGGTTATACATATAGGTTATATGGTTATACGGCATACATTCGACAACACGAATTAACAAACAATTATGGTGGCGCGGGCATATGCCGTTCAACCAATCAGCGCGCGAGGTGCGTTTCACAAATTGACGGTTTCACTTCGATTTATTACAATGTACCGAATAATAATACGTTAAATTGTAAGCAGTACGTTGAAGTTCACAATCTTTCGACAGTTCACAATCTCGCGAGATAGATTACAACCTAACGGTATTTACAATTTTACGGTGACATATTAAACAAATGACTAAAAGATATTTGTAAAAAAACAACACATAAGTAATCTACAATTACATATATCATCTAACCATCTACAATATATTTTATAACTGAAATAAAACTATACTAAATCTTAAGGGTGCGTCCACATCTGGCGAATATGACGCGAATGTGCAGCTCGCGAGCCGTTATTATATTCGCCAGATGTGGACGCACCCTAATATTAACTTAAATTAATAAAGTTGGGCTCCTACCACGCTTTTCCACCACATAAATAAATTGTTTCCTATTGCTATACATGTACACCTTATTCGAGGGCGTTTTCCCAAAGCCCTTACAAATTTCAAATCCAATTCCAAAATAAAATATAATTTCATAAGAAAACAATTTATAATCAACAACGTCATCTACACGGCTTTTCTTACAGAACCTATCTATTTTTACTTACTTGACAACGCTTCTCTTTCAAGCCGATCCAATTCCGGAGGAGAAATATTCCACACAGCGGTGGAGTTAGGGTTAATTGTAATAACTGCGACGTCATTGTACATGTAGTTAGAGAGGAATGTCTGTGCGGTTCTATCTCGGGCGTACATGTTGCTCAATTGGGTGTAGTCTTGTTCGGTATAGCTAAAAACAAGTTTTTTTTATTTCTTGTTTAAAAAATATACTTATGCTTTAGGTAACCACTTTAGGTTTGACTTGGTGCCTAAAAAGAAGTCAGTTGAAGTCAAGGCTGGTTAAAATCCATACAAGACAGCCAAAAATTGAATATTTTGGCTTAAAATAGAAAAACAAAATACACGATGAATTGAAAAAAATCACCTCCTCCTTCATTTTGGAGTCAGTTAAAAAAGCACTTTTAATGTACAAATAGGTACGTACGTAGAACATGAGAATCTGTTACGTTTTGGGCATTTTTCTTGTAGATATACGATTACTTATAATAAAACATTAAAAGCCAAATACCATAAGAAGAATCCAGTGTAAGAATATTGGTAAAATATATAAAAATAGTCAAACATAAACAATCTTATTGAAAAAAAAAGAGCCCACCAGAAACCTGGGAAGATGAAAAAAAGAAAAACCGTGTGTACTTATGTCCACGCGTTAAAAGTTATACTTCTTTGGCGTAACAAGATAAAATTTTTTAAAATTTTATCTTTCGCATCTTCTACGTTTGTACAAAAAACGACACTGGCAATAGAAAAAAATTACTCTCATCATTTTTTCCCTAACGCGTCAAAATAAGTATAACTTCAATAAAACAGCGCAGAAAGATTAGTAAATATTAGCGAAGAGATCAGAGACAAATGGAAGAATTTGGAGGAGGCCTTCACTCGGAGGTCGTGTACTAATATTAAATATAATAACATAAACTTAATGTAATCCTTGTAGTGCTCGAATATAGGCTATTTTTATTCAAGTCAAACGTGACTTAAAAAAATAAATTAGGATTTTTGAGACAATTACAACTTACACGTCAATATTGTGTGATTGCGCAGACATTTGATAAACGGGCAGGAAGGGTCCAATACGAATTTTGACAGTGACATCTGTCGGTGGATTTGGCTCACCAACCTAAAAATATAATTTATTTTAATTAATTTTTTACGAGCAGTAGGAGAAGAAAACATTCCAAAGGCAAACTTGTTATATTTTCAGATTACTTCAACTATGGTTTTTTTAAATATTTATTATTGCTTAATATCTATATTAAATATAAGCTAAAAGTACAGAAAACACCAAAACACCACTAAGGTTAAACGAACCTTGGTGCCTAAAGGGAACACCACAGTACAAATTTTAAATTCCTTATGAACTAGTACTAGAGTAAAAAAAATACAACCAATACAAAAAACGAAACGGTAACGCTGTAAACGTCAATAAAATACTTTATTAAAAACTAAAAAAAAAAAAAAAAATTGTGCTAATTTTAGAGTCAAAATAGCTCTAGCTAATAAACTTGCAATCTAGACATGAAGAACTTTTTTGTTTCATTTCAGGAAATAAGTTCTTTCCTTAGCGTGAGATTCAGAGACGAGACGACACTTAAGGCTCTGACTACCATTCGTCAAATATATATATATATATATAGTATCTGACTTCCTTGGTCGGGTAACTTACCGAATTACCAAAGGCGAAGAACACAAGCGGGAACCAAATGATAGCGATGACAAAAGCCAAAACTCCTCCACCGAGCAAGTATTTAGACGTGGTGGACTTCTTAACGCCCCGCGGCTGAGGGAATTCATCTTCTACGTAGCGAGAACACTGAAATTATAAATACATTTAAATCTAAATTTATCAAACAAAAATATAAACATAATTTATTTTTATTACATCTAAATTATATTATTTTTTTACATTCGTATTATTTCCCCTTCTTTTTTTAATTACAATTATTTAAAATGTAAAATATTTTTTTCTCTTTAATTTCTATGACAGATTTAATTCTAATAAACGAATAGTCTTAAAATAGTAGTTTATGCAACTGTCATATAATACGGGGTATTAAAACACGAGTGTAGTTTTTTTGAAATAAGATTACACGAGTGTTTTAATACTTGTTTATATGCAGTTGCATACACTACTTTATTAAATGTCATGGCTATAGGTTTCCAAGTCATAAAGTCTTGGAAACATTTGTCGTACGCTTTTCTTGATTTTTCTGGCAAAAGACTATTCGTCGAGTTACGTTTTCATCGGTATCGTCGGTGTTGCTTGACATTTTTACTACTAAAGTTTTATCCAACAAAATATTACACAAATTCGTATGTACGAAATAGCGCACATTGAAAAAGTCTGTTATTGGTCTATTGGCTCGGAACCAGCGCGCTCACCACAGATTATGTGTACTTAAATTGAATTGAAACCTCCTTGGTCGGGACACATTGTAATTTAATAATTAAAAAAATATTTTAAAGCATTGTTTTATTAGGAGAATAATGCTTTAATTTAATTTTTTAATTTTCTTTAAGAATGACATTATATAAAATATTTTTAAAGAAATTTTCCAATTCTTAAAAATTTCTACACCTTACAAATACAAATTATAATAAATTCATCAGGTTTCAGACCTTGAGTAAGAAGACGCTAGCGAATATATCCTCCATTTTGAGCCAATCCATGAGAGTCATTGAGGTGTCAGTCCATATCCAATCCATGAGGGTCCGTAATTCGAAGAGGAATGGCACTGCCATAAAGCTGTACACAGAAAAAAACATTTAAAAAAAATGTGTGAATACATTTTATTACCGAAGGTAGAATGAGGTCAAATCCAGTTTTAGACATAGACGTAACATTTATTACTAACATAACTTTTAAACTGATTTAACGATCTTAATCAGTTATCTTAATTGTACTGACAAATTCGCAGGTCCTAGGTAAATGGCGAATCAAGTTAAGCATTTTTTTGTAATAAATTTTGTAATTACTGCATTTTTTAGTTTTTTTTTACACAGTTCTTTTTTTTTCAAATTTCTTCGTACAAATAAACGTATTTTTTTTCTCTTATTTATAAATAAGCACTGTTTTAAAGTAAGTACTTGTCTGCCTCTTTTCATCATAGCGTAAACACAATTTGACAGAAAGAGACAATAATAATAAGATAAAAATTTCCGGTTGCCTGGAAGAGATTAATACATCAAACACCAAAAATATAAATTACCCTCTAAAGCAGATCATGTTGATGAACCGATAAGACTTGCAAAGGAAGTTTCCGATAATACGCCGGGGATAGCCACACCGGATCTGGTATGCCGAGAGTAGAAGGTAGATGCTCTTCATCATGTACCACATCGGGGGCGGAAGGAGGGTGTTAAATGTCCTGATATAGATAAAAATTATATATTATGCGCTTTTTGTATTTTTTTATAGTAATTACTAGTTGTGAGGGAATCAGACTTTGTTAACGTTAGTGTTTATAAAGTCAATAGTTAACACAAAACTTCCCAAATATTTTTTTAAATTAAAATTTTAACCACCTCTCAAATTAAATTTTGTATCCTTATATTATAATTTTTTTCAAAAACGTACACGCTGATTGCATATTATGTCATTTGCAAAGAAGGAATAAGAATGATAATTAATCTATTCGAGGCTTACGATTACGAATAATGTTTATTTTCTCACCTTTCAGTAATGAACGGTAATACAAAGAACATCCATATATGAACACCAATAATAAGGGCATATTGGAATAATATCTTGCCCAGCATGAATTTTCGTAAATAAAGCGCTCGGTCAATTATAATGAGTGCGAACTGCAATATTAACATTACAAGGAACGGAATAGGCACTTTGTTCTCCTCAAAGTAAGTCTGCACTCCACCATCGCCTTGATGTGTCTGAAAATTTTAGAAAAAATGGTAATCAAACTGCATAGTTCTGAAAATACATTCCTCAGTCATCAATCTTGACTAGGTCCATATTCTAATTCGTATCTCAAGTCACAATTTCGTCTTTAGAACTGTCAAATATGTCCTTCCTTCATACAGACAAAACTGATTGAAAGCTCTTGAAACTTCATTTCAGTTTGATTGACGTCTTAAAATACTGGTAATTATTTATTATTTAAATGAAAATAATCAGTAACGTCCTGCTCAGTACGTGATAAGTAATAAAAATTTATGTCATTCTTCTAAACAACAAAAAATATTTAGGTAATGAGACATTTAAACAATTTTACACATAACCATAAGCACTAAATAATTTTGTGTAGTGTATAACTTACCCCAAAAGCAGCAAACCCGAAGATAACGACAAGGAAATTAAAGAAATCGCAAAGAAACATGTACGCGTATACGTCAGCCGTGACGCGCGCGCCCGGCGCTAGCATACGTTCGAAGAAATGTTTAGTTGGACGCAAATATCGTTTTAATCTGAAATAGTATTCGTAAAATAAGTATTAAACAAATTATCTGGACACAAGCATCATTTATAAAGAAGAGATAAGCTCACGAATTTATAAGGGTTTCATGTTTTACCATTTGGCTACGGAACCTTCAAAAGCTTATAAACCTTGTTATAATGACCAGACACTTTTCCATGTGATAGCAGTCAATCCTATGGCAAAGCATAACTTCGAAGTCCTTGTATAAAAAGTCAATTAACTATGTTCTAAACGGTATTATATTGAGTATAAAAAATATAGCGTAATTAAAACATAAAGGATTGAACTTACGAAAGTAACATGACATTAGGGTAATGCTGATATGTATCCTCCAACATTGTGTTTACAGCAATGATCGGTTCCTGATCATCGTTCACCCTGCAAAAAATACAGTTAACTTTAATAGCCACTTAGTTTTCACTGCTAGTATATCGCAATAGCTCCGACCGCCTACGAAGTGTAGATAAAATAAATGACAACACAGTTTTTGAGCGAAAACTACACATTCAAAACTTCTTTAACAAATTTAAACGCAAAGTTATATTTTTGAAGTTATACTTCGTTAGGCGCGTTATGAAAAATTGACGAGAGTTAAATTTTACGATGCGCGCGCACCGTGTCACAAAATTAACAGAATGAAGTTGCCCACGGAAGATACTACGGCATTGGACATAATTTAAAAACAACATTCTAATAATAATAGAATTTATGTTATACTTAATGTAAGAGAATAATAATAAATATTTATTTATTTAATTTTTCAAATGTAAACTGAACTTTATTGACTATAACGACTCCTTTTCCAGTCTTTGATTATTTAATTGTAATTATTTATTTGCATGCAATCAAAAACTATTTTTAACAATGCCAAAGAAGTATAACATCATACGCGCGTACATAAGTACACGCACCGTTTTTTTACATAACTCGATAAAATATGGCAAACAAAGTGATCATTAAAATTGTAATGATTAATATGTATTGCTAATACCAACTTTGAGGTAATTGATAGCGATAATATGGCAACACTTCAATAGATGTGCAAATAATCTAATAAATTCGCTTTTATATCCGATAAAAAACCTTTATATAAATAAATAATGATACTATTGAATCACAATGGGCATCTTTTACCCAAACCGGGGTTCCTGTTAAATAAATTATATATTACTAACATATTCTAATCTAACCTACTAACAAAATCAATATTTTTGGTTACTTTAATATAAAAACTACCAACTATTGTAAAACAGGAAATAAAAAGGCCTATTATTATTACTATTGAATCGTACACGTTCGGCTAACGGTGCAAATTACAGATTGTAATAATAATTCTTTATTTACACAAATAATGCATAGGTAGATTATAATGGCGTGCAAAGTCTTAGATAAAATGGTAAAAAAATTGAATTACGTATTAAATAATAATAATATCACATGTTGAAACTTCGTCATCAATTTTTTTTTTAAAGGCAATTCACACCAATTGACCTAGTCCCATGCTAAGTTGGTGAAGCTTGTGTTATGGGTACTAGGCAACGGATATACATACATATTATATATAGATAGACATATAAATACATATTTAAACACCCAAGACCAAAGCACAACATCAAATGCTCATCACATCGATGTTCGTCTCAGCCGGGGATCGAACCCGGGACCCATGGATTGGCAGTCAGGGTTCGCAGTACTAACCACTAGACCAATGAGTCGTCAAATTAAACTACATGTTTAATTCAAATAATCATTATTAATATTCGACTTTTAAAAAGTAGAATTATTATACATATAAAAACTAATGTGATGAGTGATCTTACCTATACTCATCGTCAGGTTCTTTAGAGGGCCCCGGTTCATCATCAGAGCTATCTTTAATTTGCGGCAAGTTGTCGATACTCGTTTTTAATGACCCATTGATTTCACTTTCCTTTTGTCTATAAAAATAAATAAATAAAAGTCCTGGCATATGTTATGATGCTGTATAAATAAAAATATCAGAGATTCTTTATTCTCATTTCAAGATCTTACATTCTCGTATAAGTTACGTACTACTACTTATTCGGTAGATAAGATATACAATACTGAGGGTCTGTTTCACAATTTAGATAAGTTCTACATAAGTTGCAAATTAGCTATTTATTACTTATTGGTAGGATCAACACTATTGTTGTGTTTCACGACTGTCAGATAGCGCTATTCGACACATAAAGTTATGAGTCCGATGAAATGTCAAATAGCAAAATTTATCTTCCAATTAATTTATGTGTTGCATAGCTATTTGGTACTTTATCCATACATTGTGACACAGACCCTGAATGAACTAAACCATATATGGCTTTACCTTACTACTGAATCAAGCTACACGATTTACTCACCATAGACACAGTTTTAGTCTGTGATTCAGGACAAGACATAGCGGAAACTATGACATCCGTATGTGAAACAAAATCCAATACATTGTTGACGCACGTGAGTCAGACTTATAGCTGCGCGAGAGGCGAACGCCATATAATAAATCAATAAAGTTTTAACGGCTACTCGACAAGAAAGAGAAGCAAAAATAATTCATCGTAAAAGAATTTGGGAAGAAACATCGGTTTCGGCGAACACGGTTCCTGCGATTGCATGCGATTAATAAACAATAACCTACAAGCTCCCTCCTTATCAGAATGCAAAATCGTAAAATGACTGCTTTACGACTGATTTGAGCGCGACCGCCGCTGCGAAAACCGCTGTGCGAGTTCGAAAAGTGAGTTACAGAATCGCAAGGCTGTACGCTGATTGCGCGGGACTCCGCCTACCGCGGCCGTGTCGTCACACATAACGGTACAATCACCGACGCGATAGGAAAGAGTGATGTTTTTGTTCGCCACAGCACTAAGTCTTGTTTCTAAAACTTACCCTACTTACATTTCTCTTTCCATTTATTAATTTTACAGAATAATACAATCTAAATCATGGTATATTACATTTGAAAACCCCTGTGGGGTGTATTAATGTATATGCAATATTCTATGTATAATTACTTCTAACTACCAAATAGCTGTACAGAAGATGAAGGGCTAGCTTATAATTATTGATTTATAACTTGGCTACCATTTAGATCTCAAATTTTTGTCACACGATAACTACATATGGTGTTTTAACTATTTTTCATTACATAAAACTACCATATAAAAGTGATATTTACAACATCGCGGCTTCAAGCGAAGCCCGCAGCATAGCCAGTGTAAGCCGCTTCCCAGAACCTCTGTCTGTCCATACATAGTTTATTTTTACTCTTTTGTTAATAGTACTAGAAGTTCCGCTTTTGTCCTATCCACTGTTGTTTAAAACTTACATTTTAAACAAATGTTTTCTTGGATATAGAAACCAGGATTTATACTGCCTAAATACATTAAATAATGTGTATCATCAGCGTATTTGTAAAAAAATCTCAAAATTTGTAAATAGATTCGGCAGTAAATTTTCTTCTTCGTTATATCATGTTTTTTTATATGTATTTTTGTGGTGTAGCCTTGTGATCCATCTTTATTAACTTTGACAGATTTCTTACACTACGTAAGTTCGTAAGCAAAAATCATTTTTTTTCATATATTATAATAATTAATTGAGTTAAAAGTTTTGGTATTAAAATATTGATTTGACATTAACAAAAAATGGGATAAAACTATTAAAAAAACTGTAAAACTTAGCAATGACCGCCTTAGTTAGTCAGCACAAAAATCATCAAGTTACACATCTTTCAACACATAAGTCAACTCACGGGACAATTTTTTCGTGCAATTTCACATATTTCTGTCCAACTTCAGCGCCTCGACCTTCCACCAGGAACTGAGTATCTTCAGCGGTCAAAGCATACTCCTTATCTTGCTGAAGCTCTATATCAGAAGAAGATTCCTTCCAAAGACCTAAGGATTTTAACATGAACCTGGAAAGCAAGATTTACTTTGTTTTACCTTACAACTAGTAGTAATTTTTCTCCAATTTTATCGTAGCTTTTTATACGTACTAGAGTAGGTTTTTCTATGATAAAACGTCAAACTTTTTATACAAAATGCACCATAGATATTTCAAATGTTTTTCAGTATAAAAGTACCATAAACACTTGACACAGCAATAGCCAGATATATCTTTTCACGTATTTCTCAAAAACAATTATGCGTATAAAAAATTATCAGTAAGATAAACCTACTGTAAAGTGGCAGCAGAATCCAGGAAATCCGAAGAACGCATTGAATCAGCTAAGCACTTGACCATTAAGTTAAACTATTTTGTATTCGTAATTTTAGACTTACGTATATTAATAAACAATTAAGGAAACATGAAAGACACATCACAAGTTACAATTATAGAAGTAGGTATCCTTAAATTGTTTTACATGTAAGATTTTTTATATTTATTTATTATTAATACATAAATCAGTGGCGCTACAACTTCTTTAAGTCTGGGCCTCAGATTTCTGATCTGTTTCATGATCGTTTTTACGTCTAGTAGGCAAGTAGGTGATCAGCCTCCAGTGCTTGACACACGTATTTGTTTGTGGTTTCCTCCATGTTTTCCTTCACCTTGAGCGAATGTTAGATGGCACATCAAAAGTAAAACCTGAGTGCCTGAAGCCATTAGGCCACCTTTCTATTTATTATTAAAGTATAGATAAATATATAGTGCAGACCAAATAATAGACAAATAAGACGAAGGGTGCTTGAATGAATTAAGGATATTAATTGAACTTCTTCAATATTTACCTGTGCAAGAATATAATAAGCAATAGTAGCAAATCGTAGAGGGCGTAGTTGTATTTCCTTTCGATACCAATAATTCGTGGAGCTGTGAACGGCATATTTGCAGGTATTGCTTTCTGATTCCACGGTAGAATCTCGAATTGGAACATACTTTTTATAAGCACGATTACCTGGAAATAATTGACAAAGATCAAGTCAGTATAAAAAGTCATAGGGTGGTTCAGAGTCGAGACTTAGAGCTATTCCCGTCTGTCAAAATGTATCGGATTGTGATATACGGGAGTAATAGTTTGAACTAAGTTCGACTCTAAATCTGGCACTATAAGGATACAACGTTACACACAGACAAATATTAAACAGACACAAAGTGTCCGAACCTGTAGTAGACATAGACAGAAAAATCGTAGTTCACAGCTGGTGTTCGAACGCACTATCTCAGTTGACTGCACACTAGGCAAACGAATGTGCGTTAAAAGAGTAGAATTAACTCACCTCTGTATACGCGATAAGCGTGACCCAAAATGTTTTGGTCGGTCGCGGTATAGTCAGAGTTCCCCAAAGGAATACCATCAAAGGAAGAGGTATGGAAAGAATTGTTGCTGATTGAATCTAAAAGAAAAAACAACACCATATAAAAAAATTGTAATTACAAGATATTTAAATAAATAAAAGTCCGAAGTTAATTTTAAAGGCTGCCCCAGGAATTAAAGAAACTCGAGCTTAGCTAATAATTTCGATAATAGGTATGTGTTATTAAAAGTAAAAAAAAAAACAAAGTTCGGTTTTAGTTACTGTTAACATTGAAGCATATTTCCAATAAGACCTGTAAGACTGTAGTGACACAATACTGCAAACGCAATGAATCTTAGTTAAGGGGAAAAAGTAGCGACCGATTTTATTAGTCTCGAGGGTGTAAGCTAGTCCTTTATCTTCCGCCGTGAGCCTAAGTGAACGCCAAATTCATTAGCTATATAATTTAATTTTATATATATATGTGTATATATATATAGTACATTAAATAGTAAGAAGGCTGAATCGTGTATTAAAATATATATTACCTGGTTTATAAAGACCATGATGTAACAGACTATGTCCGTATGTGCCAAAACAGCGAACCACAAAGCATAGCACAGATGAACTAAAGGCGATTTATCTTGTTTGAACATAGAGTCATCCTGTTCTTCTAACGTCGTGAGATCCTTACTGAAAAAATAATGCGCAACGTATAAAAAGATAAACTTACAACGAAAGAGATACTTACGAAAAAGCACATTTTTTAAATCCAATTTTATAAGCTGAAATTTATTTTTAAACACATATCCTATACATTGATTTCCTCAGTACGTATCAATTATAAGAATTTCTTTATATCTAATGTTTATATTCTTATATCACTATTTTATTTAAAGAGTAACTACTGAGTCCGGCGTTCTTGCCGACTCTTTGTCTCTTGTTTGTTTGAAAAAATATTTGATACAAAATTTTGACTTATACTTTGACTAGAAGCATAGTTAAATAGAAGGTTATTAGAACAAAAACAGAGAAACTCTGTGGCTACTTATATGTTGTTCCTTAAATATTATGTTAACGAGTTAAGCGTTAGTAACAAATGTGTGTCATTTAGACACACATTTGTTATACAGAATAATAAAATTACAACAAATAACACTTAAATTGGCATTATCTAACCAGATTCTATTATATTTCGAGTCACTTGTGGTGACTGGTCGAACTTGAATTCGTGTAACGGTGATGTTAGTTATTTCGACTATGTTTTTTTTTTGCCTGTTGTTCCCACGAGAATGTAAGTGCGTGCTTCTATTTATTAATTAACTATTAATTACTTATGATGTCATGTGGAACATGATGTAATGGTTGCAGCTCCTTACAAACATTGTGTAAAACAAAAAACTTGATAATTAAAAAGAGTGGCGGAGCGTTTATTGCCAGTTCTTCTCTTTCGTTCTACGCCCTTGATTTGGGAACTGGCAGTAAATGTAAATTAAAAGCATTTAATATGTATTTCTTTTTGACGTTCATAAATGTACATTGTGTTACCTAAATGAATAAATGAATTTGATTTGATTAGAATCTATTATATTTTCTTTATTTTTGGACTATATAATCATGCACGAATATTGTCTTCATATAAACTTGACACGCAATATACAAGGACCATACAAGTTGAATGAGTACTTATAATAAAGCCATCTTGATCATATAGTGCAAGTAGTGACACCAAAATCTTTGAATGATTAAACTGTTTGTGATTTTCTGCAATTATGGGTGTAATTTGAAAAATTTTTGTGAAATATTTATTCGATAATGCCACTTATTTACAAAATTTTCTTTTTAAATTTACACTTACCTGGATCCCGGGACATCGATAAGTTAATTACATAAAATGACAAATGAATAGTGACAACATAAAGAAACATTGAACAAGCGACGACATATATATTGAAAAAATTGTACTGTTCACTTTTATTAAGAGGAAGACCGCTACTAACAAATAATTAAAAACCTTTAAAATATTTGTGGTATTAAGTCTTCTTACTTATTTGGTAAGGGCTATGTTTAACTATGTTAGTTTATTTTTTTATTTAAAAAGCATTTATTATTGAAGTACCTATATCAAGGTTATAAGTTGACATTTTTGAAACTTTTTTATATAACTTAATTTTTGTATGATTGCGTGTTAAAATAAATAAATTTGTACATTTTTAAACAATAACGGCACTAACGGGTTAATTCCGCATTTCCACTTGTTTTTTTTATATGATAAGGGGGCAAACGAGCCTTCTCCGCAAAAGACAGCTGCCAGTATCCATGTCCACCCATGTTAGGTGCCGCTTTTTTTTTGGAGGTAGTAAAAATATAAAGTATATCTTCTTTTTCTGTAAGAAATACTTACACTGGAAGCCGATTCGCAAAGGGAAGTAGAGTACTGAAGTGTAGATTATTTGTTTTTATGCCAACTTATATATAATTATGATAATTTACAATAGCTCTGCAAATTATCGAAAATACGAATATTCTAGAATTTATTGGTAGCGATCTTTCTCATACAGTACACTTTCTTAGTATAACCTTTCAGTAGTTTGCAAGCTAAAAACACTATCGTGTTCGTCATCTTCTGTGTCGCTGTCGGAGCTCGACTCGCGGCGCGAAATGGCGGGACTCGGCTTGTCTAACCCCCTCTCCATACTTGGAGCCAATATACGAATCTCCGGTACGCTTAGTTGGCTTAACTTACGGCTGGAAATACCATTCGTTTTACTCACCGATGACGAATTTTCTTTTGAGAACTGACTGACAACTTTATCAAAGAAAATTATTGCCAGGATTTTGTAGTGATTTTGATTTGTATGAGGCACTAAATTAAGATATTCATTTTACATTCAAATGTTATGTATGAACAAAAAACCAGACGGTAGGTTAACAGTCTTTATAAGTTCGCAAAAATCACAATAATTATTAATCATAAAAAGTATATACACACCCAGTATCCTCCACCGTATTAAGCAAATTATCTCTAGAACGTTCCATTTCTCTACAATGCGGCATGCAAGAAACACTACTTCTATAAATCACTATACTATTGCAACAATTTCTAGGCATTACTCAATGTACTATAGACTACTTGATACTACTTAACTACATGACCATTTTTGTTAAATTTTTAATGACTTCTTTAATAATTTTATACGTACTGATGTACGAATACTTCTGGCATGGGCTCCCAAATCATTTGCGATCCTTCACGTATTCCTATACCGAATCCTTCTTTTTCCTGAAATAGTGAGATTTACATAATTAATATATTACTTTAGGTAGTAAAAAGGTTTTTAGAAATTACTAGTTGACCCGGCAAACGTTGTTTTGCCATTTATATTATTTCTAGGAAACATTTTTGTAGTTCAATAAAAATTACTATAATGTAAAATAGGTGTTGATCTAGGGTTGTATGTATTTTTGTATTGATCATACAAAAAACATTTTTTTTTGGGGTATAGTATAGTAGCCGATTCTCAGACTTACTGAATATTTATGTTATGTGTATGACTTACGAATCGGTCGAACCGTTTCGGAGGAGTATGGGAACGAACATTGTGACACGAGAATTTTATATATTAGATATACCTAGGTAAAATGCGTGGCTAGTGGCGTGCCTAGGAAACATACTTAAAAAACAACTGAACTTTTGATAAAGCATGGTCTGTTCCATTGAATTTAATTAAAATCGATTTTGTGGACACAAACTGTGGACGAATTTTTATTAGTCTTACAAAAATTGTAAATTACCAGCGTAATTTTTATAATTTCATTATGATACGAGCGGATAGCTCCATATAAATAAGTTATTGTACGAACACATAATGTTACTAAAATTAAAATACAGATAGGTTTCGTCATATAATTAAATAAAAAACTGTCCTTCATTACAACCAATGTTGGCAAAAACATAAAAACTCAGAGAGACTACTGTATCTATAACCTATCATTATTTACGAATGAAGAATTTTAGCAGTAGTAAAGAAATTTCCGAGGACAAAGACGCCAACAAAATATATAACCTTCAAAATCTTCTTCTCAACAGATAAAGTTCTTGACACATATCTGTAGTCCCGCGAGTACTTCATAAGATGCCGAGTGATTGAGACCAAAAAGCTGGATACCAACGCACCAGCCGTGTCCAAATATCCCTTAATTTTGTCCATCCAAGTCTCGGATTCTGTACGTAACAGAAAACATTTACGATTGAACATAGACTAGATTCTATATACATGTTTACTTATGATACTTTAATTTTTAGTATTCTAGGCATGTTATTTTAAAGCCCTTATGAATTTTATTTATTTATTTTTCTCACAAAAACTTAAACTTAGAACATTGGCAAGTGACAGTTATATTCTCACTTCTGTTAATGGAAAAAGCAAGTCTGTGTGAGACTGATGCCTAATAAAGGTAAGAGTACTTGTGTTACAGGTCATCCGGCCTCCACTACTTCGGATTGACAGAAGATACAATACAATACAATACATTACAATATATAGTATATAGAGGAAACCATGCCCTTATGAATGTTTTAAACACAGTAATGTTACGATTTTTTTAAGGTAATATATTAAATAATTAAACTGTCTATAATCACTTTGAAGTCTTAACTGCAGTGATTGCATAATTACAAATGATGATTTATGGCGATCAATTTTTTTTAACACAAAAATATTTAAGTCTCAGAAATTTGTATTGCTGTTATTATTGTGTTCAATTATTGGCCCACGTAATATACATGCAAACGTATATTTGTATTTAACGCCTGGAGTAATGAAGTCTAAGACCTTTCTTCTTAAAATTTATAATGCACATAGGGATGGTGATAAAAATTGCATCGTAAGGTCGCGTGGAGAGAAAATATTTGAGAGTTTATGAAAAGATACTAACCGGGCATTGGTGCAAATTCATCCAAGTCTGATGATGGACCAGCTCGGTCCCTCATTGATGCATCTTCGTCCCGTCTTACGTCTCCCCGTGACGATAAAGGACGCACCTATTATGTGTAGGTATTGAATTAAATATTCGTAAGTCAAGAGAGACGTTATGCAGTAATAAAATGGACATAATTTTATCTATTTTCATAATGATACAGATTTGATTTCATTATAAATCCCAGTACAAGAAGCCGTGGAATATTTACGAAAACATTTTACAAATTTCAGTTAAAATTACTTAGCTATAATAAAATGTCAAAGGGAAATGTGAAGTATAAAAGAATAACACTAGTGAAATAAGAAACTAGGTATCTACCTGTTAAATACCAACCAATAACATGGAAACTAATAACATACCTTCAAAACAATCTTCAAGCACATCTTAAACTAAACAACAAATAAAAGCAAAGCATGCTTAATAATAAAAAATCCCAATTTTAACCAATAAATACAACCTTAGTTTATGACCCATCAATAAATAATTGTTTGACCAAAATAAACAAAAAAATAATGTTGTGTTAACTTTTCCAAAAATTGCTGCATAATTTCTTTACGAAAAATTTTTTTTCGAGAATAATGACCTTTGTTGTCTTGTTGATCTTAGTTTACTAAATTAATTTATTTTCGTTTCTAAAACGAATGAGAAGTGCGTACGTATTTCAGATCTTGAGATTATATTTAGCGGAAAAATGTTAAAAGAGTAAAGAAAATAAACGAGCAGCAGAACCAAAATTTTGAAAATAAATCACACATTGAGAAATTGAGAAATTTTGAATTTGAAATTACCTCATCCATATAGGATTCAGGGTGTGCCGGATAGGACGTTCTCCTAACGTCTCTTAGAACGGGCGCAGACGCACGCCTCAGCGACACGGCACGACGCAAATCCGTCTTTATCGCCGTCGACAGCAACTAACAATACCCACACGGCTTTGCCTTATACATAGCTTTTTAGTAACCCTATGCCTTCAAAACTTATGAACGTACCCATAAGAGTTTGCTTGTCACTCGTAATAGACTGTCCTACTATTAATATCAGAACTTTATTAAATGTTCTAAAAAAGCTATGTATTTAAAACGATGTTAGTCACCATAAGCCCAATAAAAGCCCCAGCCCCTACTTGGGAGCATGCATTCAAATTCGCGTATGTCTAAAATATGTCTAATTATATTCTATATACATGCACGAATGCAGCGATGATTCGATGATTGAAGTCTTGATCAGTTGATCACATTACCATACTTTTTTATCCTCTGTTAATCCCACCCGTAACCACCACCATCACCATCTTTATTACCAAACTGACGGCACATATTACAAAGGTGGTTCATAAATTGAAGTTATTACCTTCCCAAGGCCCATTTCCTTCGGAGCGTCTTCATCAGAGCTGGATTCATCCTCCTTCAGGTGTATATCAGTATCATCGAACTCGTCAAACATATAGTAGTCACCAGAGCGCACGGCTGTATAATAATTTGCTTTTAATACAAATACCAGTTTACAATAGCTATAAGCCAAAGCTATTTACAATTAGCATTGGGAAATGCATTGTTAATAATATTTTTTTCAATATTAAGCCCAAGATATCTATATTTAAATAACTCTAAATATTTACGAAAGAAAATCGTTAGCCGTCAACTATATATTTTGTTTCTATGTTTATATGTATCTTTCGTTATGTTCTAAGATAAAACTTTAACAACTACATAAACTATTAAACAAATAATTACCAAATTCAATCAAAATAACAAGCAAATCACAGCAATAAAAAACCAACAACAGCGTGCGAACCCAGTTAATTCGTGCATACCATGCGTTAATTTGTCTAGCACAACATTTATTGCTCAATGAAAGTGCATTATTTATAATCTCTTAACGTCAATTAATCGCCAATTCCTTCACGAGCAACTTGCCTAAATACCACCTCTAACGTTTAAGCTGCGAACACAAGTTGTTAGTAACGCAAAGACAATGTTAGGCCAAACTCGAAACTTTACCCTTCTGATGACTGGTTGGCGGCTTGTACCGGGGCCTGTCGCGAACTACAAAAAAAGACAAAACTCAACACCATTCTCACACCAGATGAAGCTAAGCATATTAGCTTGGGGCCTTCAAGACAACACAATTAGAACCCGGACAAGTATGTTATACACAGAAGCGTTGTCTTGAAAATTATTTTAGGAAATTACAGACTGTCACAATATCCTTTAGCAGCGATGAATGTGTTACGATGAATAAGGATTTTTAGACAGTTTAGAGACAAGACAGGGAATTCTCTAACAATACCTTCATGTCGTTTTGTGAATAGTCGACGTTGAGATCCGTCAGGGCTTCCTAAAGTAGATAAAAATATTTAAACCATTGCTATACATTATTTACATGAGTTTACATCCAATGTTGCAATAGTTACACGTATGATGCGAATTCGGTTCGGCGCGGCTCGACTGGGATATAATAGATGTCCTCTGAAGCAGCGGGCTAGCTAGTGTATGACGGCGGCGGATAGGGGGAGGGGAAAACACTGGGTAGGACTCTTCCGGACTTTGGGCCCTGGGGATAAGTTCTGATGAGGGGGGTGATTCGAAGGAAATACGTCTCGGTTCGAGATAAGCGTCGAGAGATACGGTCATAAGAGCCGATGACGGGGATGGCGGGCCTTGTTGTGAAGGAGGAGCGGGTAGGGCGGGAAGTGGTAAAAGTGGGGGTGAGGGTGTACGAGGGGGAGAATGTCGAGGCGTCGGAGTCAAAGGGGTATGAAACCCTTTGGGGGAACGGGGGCTATCAGGAGTGTGGAAGCCGCGCACCGTCGCGTCTGATTCCCCGCGCTCCAGAGGTACACGATCCGTGTCATCGTCTTGAGTCTCTTCATCCTCTTCTGGTTGTCGCATGGTGATAATATCAAAAGTTTACATATTTTGTTTATTTAAGTAAGTTAACATCAAAATTTCAGTCCTATTATTAAGATTCAGTATTGTTATCCCACGAATTTAGACAATCATTTATGTTTTAGTTTCTTAGACTATGCTAGAAGACATCTGATACTTCCTATGTGAAATACAGGAAACCTTTACGGCGATTAATACGGTGTCGAATACATACGTCGGTCCTATTATTTCATAAACTATTATCCATCAAGAAAACATACCTGCATCATGATGAACAGGTTCTTTAGACATAACTCCTTGAATTTTTTTCTGGTTCGCTTTTATCCTTTCCATTTTCACTTTAATTTTTTCTAATATTTTTACTTCTTGCTCTTCTTGAATTAACATCTGCTTCTGTCGTAATTCTTCTATTAATTCTGCACCCCTAAAATAATTAAAAAAAACACTTTTTTTTTAATATATTAGAAAGAATGTTGATGCGCGTAAGCACTTTATTTGAAATGACCTTTAATGATCATAGCTTACTGACACTTTGGCACAAGAAAAATAAAATACAACATTTAATGTGACAAGCATTCTACTTACTTAGTCTAAGAGTAAGAATAAAAAAAAATTAAACCACCAAAATTAAATTATAAAAAAATGTATTTAAAAGTGTGAGGGGATATCCAGACCTAGCTCGTTTAACAAAATACTCTTTTTATTTTTTAATATCTTAAATGCAAACAATATATAAATTGATAAATATAATACCTGGATGCAAGAACCGTTGTAGCTTTACTCTCATCTATAACTCGATAGAAGTAATAGCTATGGAACAACCGTCGCTGAAGTATAAGAAACGCGAAACAAACTCCATCCCACGCAAGTCCGATGTCCTCTTGAGGTACAGAACATGCCGAATCCTTGATTTAAAAAGATACAAATCAACGTTATTAATACGCAAATGCACAAATAAAAGGTGTACTTTAAAAGATAACTATATATGGAAAGGACCAAGGGAAAGAAGGAGAAAAGGGGGCCCCAAAAAAAGGTGGATAGAAGAAATAGAAGCGGTAGCAGGAAGCAAATGGAGATAGAAAGCCATAGACAGAGTCAGTTGGAAACAGCTGGGAGGCCTTTACCCGTAAAGAGGTTCCCATCGACGGTAATGCAGGTAGCTAGGATATATAGGATAACAAGATAAAAATAGTGTATAAAATGTAAAAAATCTAAGCTGTATATTTATTTTTTTGTCATGATTGCAAATTAATATTAACAGGCTTTAATAGTATTATTATACGCAATTAATTAACACATACTTAACAAATAAATCGCTTATAACATAGAATCTTGAGTAATAAAATATTTTATTTTATTTGTTCATATTATCATGCCTTTTTCCCGAAGGGGTAGGTAGAGACCACGGATCTCCACTTGATACGTTCCTGACATACCTCTTGCTTCCACTTTCATGACATTCCACGTTCAGTTATAGGTACTTCTAACTTTTCCCTTCTCTAGTACCTCCTGGATTAGGTCCAGGTATGTACGACAAGGCCTACTTAACCCGATTTCAACATCCACGGTTGCCTTGTATATCCGATATACTTGTTGACCGTTTCTCATTCATCCGTTCTACGTTCAAACTACCTAAGTATTCCCTTTTGTATCCTTGTCATTACGTGCTCTTTTAACTTACACTCACGTATCTCACTATCCTATAACGCAATGTTAGACCACACATACTTCCTAACGCTCTCATTTCCACGGCATTTATTATACTTTCATTATCACTCTGCCACAACCAATATTCATAAAATAAAATGGGTATAAAAAGGATTGAGTATTTTGAGGAAACTATCAACACTTCCACACAAACTTTAGGACTCGGATAAGTAATGTTTTTTTAATACTTAAATCGAAGATGTTTTGTTTGCAATTTAACATGAAATTTAACTCTTCAACAAATATTCTGGCATTTGTTATCGTAATAATTTTTCTTTATAGCTGATAGACATCTAAGACACATTTCAATACCTTTAATTATTAAGACCAATCTTCTTATGATGTTTTATTTCACCGAACAAGCATATTTCGTATATAAAGAAAATTCCATTGGTGCACACTTTCCAATTTAGAGATAAACTAACAGACACCACAAGCATAGGTACCTTGTCATAATGCATTTTGAGGAAGCGAGCAATATTCCCTCCAGCAAATTTATCCACACATCCGATACCAAGTAATTGCACGAGCCAGCACGCGTTGTCTTGCATCACACGACTGAACATACATCCAGGTATTTGCAGAACTGCTTTGATAACCACTACAGAGACGTTGTAACGCACCAACCAGGACCACCTGTATGAACCACAGTAGATCAGTATTTTTCTTTAGGTAACTTATCCTAAATTGCCTACAAAAATCTTTATAAGTGCTAAATTATATTGGATATATGAAAATTTTGTTACAACACAAATTTAAAAACAATGTTTATCACTTGCTTCCTAAGTAGTAGAAATTTTGGAAAGTTGACAGAAGAGTTCAAGAGTTTAATTTCCAACTTCTTACTAAAAAACTTAAAAAAAAAATTATAACAAAAAATCGTGACAAAAATTCATATATCGCTAGTCTGGGTAACTAGATAACAATTGTTCTACACATGGTATATGTTTAAAACAGTTAAAAAAAGTAATTTTAGTGTTACAACTATTATAAGACATTAAGAATACGTGAATGGGTGAGTGTGTGAGTGTGTGAATGGGTGTGTATGCACATGTATGAGTGTAGCTGAGAGTTGTTATGATAGTGCGCTGTGTCTGTGTTCGTTTTTGGAACCTCTCATGCTCTGTAGATTTGAAATCTAATTTGGCTAGTGTCATTTTTATGTGATGATATGGAAATATTCAATAACGTATGTTTCCTTAAATGTCTGTTGCATTTATAGTCTTACCATTGCAAGAATAGCTTCTTTCGGTCGCAAGTAGAAGTCCGTTCCTTGCCATAAGAATATAAAAGAGCCAATAAGATATCCCATAGAAAACAAATTCACACGGTTCGTACCAGTCATAAACATGATAGCTAACGTCACCCACAACATTCCCAGGAATACCATTCGCTTAATCACATCCAACCAGGTTCTGGAAAAATAAAAGTAATCAATAATAAATAAGAAAAATTAATAATAAAATGAATTTTGTCTTATGTTGAAGAAAGTTAGCGTTAATCACAATACGATAACCTAAGCTACTACGAAGTAAAAAGTAAGACATAATTAAGCACATATAAAAAAAATCACAAACACATCTTTATATATATAATTCTACTGTACGTGTGTATGTCCCTGAACTCCTCTTAAACGGCTGGACCGATTTGAATGATTTTTTTTTGTTTGCGTTTGGGTGGCGCTTAGGCAGATGGCACTGCAGTCGGTATCAAGGGTATTTATCTATACTGCAACTAAACAGCTGGTTTTTCAGGTACGAGTCTCGGATAGCTTAACTGGTAAAGCTCTTGGACTGTAAGCAAACGATCTGGGTTCGATTCCCAGTCTAAGCCGTTCGAATTATTTTTCGTTTCATTATATTATTTGTTTTTCATTTCATACTTTGTTTAATATCCTAATCGCTTCAAATATCACGCAGGACAACGTCTGTCGGGTCTATATATAATAAATAAATAAAAAATCTTTAGAAGATGCTCACTATATAGAGTAACTTATTAAATATAGATGAAATCGAAAACCTTACCCAACATAACCTAGAAAATCTGGTACCGGATTGACAAAGTCAGGTGTCTCCCAGTCTTTTCCTATATCTTCACTGTTGGACCCACCAGGAAAATTATCACCGTGGGACTTTTCTAGTCGAAAAACTTTTAGCTGCCGTGCAGAAAACATTAATAGGAAGAAGTCAAAGATTAATTTAACAGCGTGAGGCGGTTCTGCTGTATATGGGAGGAACAGCCAGTTGCGTACATGTTTCATTTGCTGAAAAAATACGTACATTTTTTTTCATCTAAAGAGATAAACAATAATGAACCTTCGTTATTTAGAACTAGGACTTTTGTTTCGTGTATTAAAAACGCGTAATTTGCTCTGTCAGGTTCCAAAAAATACCATTATACAAAACACAGTTTTTTTCTACAAAAATTATAAGAATTTGAGTAATATTTTGTTGGATAAAACTTTAGTAGCAAAAATGTCAAGCAACACCGACGATACCGATGAAAATTTAACTCCACCTGACATTCTAGAAACTGACGAATAGTCTTTTGCCAGAAAAATCAAGAAAAGCGTACGACAAATGTTACCAAGACTTTATGACTTGGAAAATGAACAAAAAGGCTAACTCATTTTCCGAAAACGTTTTTGTAACCTACAAGAGTTATCGGATAACTTTAAGTGTTCGTCCTTATGGTCTAAATATTCTATGATTAAAAGTAGCCTGAGTATTTACAACGAAATTGAAATTACCAAATATTCAGAACTTGTTTCATTTCTGAAACGTAAATCACAAGGATATAAAGGGAAGAAAGCCAAGACAGTTGCATTAACTACTATTATAACTTAGGAGTTGTAGGAAACACTATACATATATCTATGCCTCCACGTTTTTTATAGACCAGTGACCAGCCGTCTAAACCAAAATTTCCCAATTACTCATGATCTACGAGTTACTCACCTGATCCTCCCCACTCCAGGGGTACTGTATACAAAATTGGGGCATAAATCCCACAGCTAGCATATACTGTAACGGCACTATTAGTGTAATTAGTGCTGTAAATGCCGGCCATAGATTGGCTAATTGCTTCCTTCGAATAGACACGAGCGCTAAAAGCCACGCAGAGTATATGACTGCGTATACGTCCATACGAGAACCGATTACGCCCATAAGGCATATTAAAGTAATCTGAAATGAGATTAAAGAAAATATAAGATTAGACAATGTATATTATTCTTAATTATTCAATGAAAACGTATAAATCTATTCAGAAGTGTACCTATATATACTTTAAGTTTCTAAGAAAGGAAAAAAGAAGATTTTTTTTATTAAGATTAAAAGTGTTGTTTTTTTATTAATTTTTTGGTTTATCTGGAGCCAAGACCAGGTGATGTAAAGCCACTTTTTTTATAAGTTTACTATTATCTTTTTATATTAAACATGTAAAATTTTGTAATTAAGCCGCAGAACTGATATTTAAGTATTTTTTTATAGAAAAGGGGAGAAAACGAGCCTACGTCACGACGCTCAAAAAGGGTAGTCATCGCAGCCCATTTGCGGGTGCGTTGCCGGCCTTATAGTGCCTTAATTTCATATATCAGACTTTTGTTGCGTGCAACCCTAAACAAAGTTTTCCTGGGAATAGATAAATGCATAACCAACTATCAGAGACGTATATTATATACAATTACTTCTATTGATCAGTTGAAATAAAAAGAAAAACTTTTATTATTAGTACCCTTCATACAAGAAGTTACTTAAAAAGAATTACTTTTTGCTTAATTTTGATGATTTTATCTTACCTCAACACCAAATTTATAGAAGCCATAATTGAACAAATACTTGATGTAATGTATTAAATCTTTGTCTGCTTCGTTTCGTGTTATTTCGGGGAACATTAGCTTGTCTTTTGTATTTGGTAGAACACCCGATTCTCTGTAAATAAACAATTTAATAAAATATGAATATTATTATTTCTAGACATTAAGGTCAAGAAAAAGTAAGTAAGTGTAGTTTTTAAAGGATTTTATAAACTTTTATAATAATAATATGTAATAATAAAACTTTATTCTTGACAGAAATATGGTTGTGACAAAATTAAAATAACGCTAGTCCCCCTGTGTTGTGGGTATCTAGATTACAATTATTATTATTCCGTGGTGCATGTTTAAAACTATTTTTAAAAGTCAGTTTAAAATATTTCTAATAGGTAGGTATATTATTAATTTTCGCAATTAAAAAAAAGTGCATTGTTGCTTAAGGGACATGCCGCTAGTTAGATATTAATCAGTGTTCACACCTTTCAGATACGAATTGGTCCAATAATTGTCAAAAACTTCACTGTTAATATTTTGGCAGGACATTGACTGAATATTTTGACATAAATTCCTGACTCTAAATGTTGTAATTTTAAAATTACATTATAAATCATCGAAGTACCTGTGCACTTGTTGCCGATATGTGACCAAGGAGTAGAAAGTGAACAAAGCAATGAGGGCAATATAGCCCTTTAATAATGCCGCTAAACTTTTCGTTGGCGAAGTTTTGTAGAATCCGAGCCATTCCGCATTATTATATGTCGTCATATTCATCGTATTATTTTCACCTTCCTGTAAATAATGTATCATTGGTAATAAAAACTTTCTTGAATATAATTAGAAGTATAAGATATTCTTAGAATTTGTCAAAATTTCTCATTAAACTCTTTAAAATAAAATACCGTCTCTTTCTTTCAAATAGTGTTAACGCTGTGATGAAATAAGACAGATAAAAATAGTGCAATTCTTTTTTTTAATAAGAGGCCGTCTTTTTCGTCCTTAATTTGGCACCTGGTATATTGGAATTGGATTTATTTTTATGCGTTCATAAGGTTAGTTTGAAGTATAAATGATTTTTGGACCAATTTATGAAATAAAAATATATCGTGCTTTGCGTCAAATGAAAAACTGGCTGTTTCTTAAAAAAAAAAAAACTTAACTTACATTAGTACAATTGACATCAAAGAAAGAATGTTTGATGTATTCAATTTGATAAACCATTTTTGCCATCAAATATACACTGATTAGAGTTGAGATGACGAGCATACAGAACCGCTGTTTCCTTGAACTTAACCAAAGCGCTGGCGCAATTAATATCATTATAGGCACGTGCATGGCGCATACCTAAAATAAATAATCAACTATAAAACATATTGAATTAAATTTTATAAAAACATTCAATGTTTAAGATAAATGTATAAAAAAAAAAATAATAAAATAGATACAGTTGGGAATTATAAAATATATAGATAGATAAAATAAAACTGGGGATAATTTTACAAATTATATTAATGTGGATAGAAGAATGTTTAATTCGTCGTTAAAATAGGCAGTTGGCCCGCAACTCTAAATTCTTCTATTTTCTTGCTATGAAATTCCAATAGTTATACACTCCATTAAATAAAAGAGATGTTTCAACTAGTTTATGTTGGACATTCACACTGCTGGCTGGCGAGGAATCGTTTCACTCTCTTAGTTGTCTTTAATCGACAAAAATATATAAAAGTACTACTCCTCAATATAAACTAAAACTGCTATAATCAGCTTTAGTTGTTTCACATTCTAGCCTATTATACACGTCCATCTTGTCGTTGAAAACTGCCTAATTATAGTGTAACATTAAAAACAAACATTTTAATCAACGATTGTAGACAATTGACGTGCCCTACGGTTTTATTTTAGTCTAGTCTATGCATATGTTTATAATTCAGACTGTATTATTTTATTATTTTTTGGTTTTTATACATTTATCTTAAAATTGCAATGTATGTTTAAATAAAACCGTTTAACTTAAAAAGTTTTTTACCTATTTTTATTTTCTAGTTTTTAGTTTTTATTTCGATTCTGTTTAATTATTTAGTGCTTCATTATTGCAAGGTCCCTTCAGTTAGTTTATATAAATAAATCAATTCTATAATATAAATATAATATATATTTAATTAATAAAATAGATACAGTTTTTAATATAATTATATATTATATAATATTTATATTTTTATTTTTTTTTATTTTATTTATTTAGTTTATTGTATTGTCACAAAATAAAGTGTATAAAAATTTAATTAATGTTAAGGAAGAGGGTGAAATTTGAATGATAAATTTGACAAAATAAAAAAAGGGTGAGAAATAATCAACTATAAAACATATTGAATGTATAAAATAAAAAATAAATCAGTGGTGCTACAACCTCTTTAGGTCTTGGCCTCAGATTTCTGAATCTGTTTCATGATAATTTTAAACCTAATAGGCAAGTAGGTGATCAGCCTCCAGTGCCTGACTTCGCCATCGACTTTTTGGGTCTAAGACATGTCGGTTTCCTCACGATGTGTTCCTTCACCGTTCGAGCAAATGTTAAATACCCATAAAGAAAGTCCATTGGTGCACAGCCGAAGATCGAACCTACGACCTCAGGTATGAGTGTCGTACGCTGAAGCCACTAGGCCAACACTGCTCTGTATGTATAAAATAGATAAGAGAAAAATTTATGCGTCAGTTTTCTTATTAACAAGTTGTTTTTTTTAATGTTTTGAAGACTTTATGGCCTGGTAACGAGACCTTAAAGCCAAGTCTTATTGCTACGGAAGTAGATATCAGTCATAGACAAATGAGAACTGACTCTTCAAGCTGTCAAAAACCAATGACCATTTGATGTATGGCACATTGTTAATTTGAATTTGGTCTCTGATAAAAGGGTAGATATTTATAACTTTGCTCAAAACAAGATTCTGTCGACTAGTCTTAAATTTCTCAAAATTTGAGTTTTAGATATATTCTAACCATAACATGGCACCATACTTCCCGGATTTAAAATATTTTATTGAGGGCTTCCGCTTTTGTCTTACTTCAATTTTTTTTTATTCTGAGAGTACAATCTCCTTATATAAATATACTTACATTAAAAACACACAGCAACATAAGTGATATGAAGAGAATCTTGATGACATGTATATCCAGGAATATGAAAGCCTTTTCTACCCACCAGGAATATGTTTCTCTTAGACGAGTAAATTTGGCTAAAAGCCATGGCCGGAACTTTAATGAACCCCTCTCTGTCACTGTAGGTGCGTATGAGCGGGACGACTTTCTGTTAAAATTATTTTATTATAACCGCAAATCTAGCAAAAAAACTAGAAAATTCAATTAGAAGTTGAGGTTAATATTTGCCCTAACCAAATTAATTGCGCAAAAAGGGGACGAAAAGCCAATGTATCCATTTCGAAGATTTTTACTATATCGGCTGCCTAAAGTCTAATAATTCTTTCATTAAATGATTTAGAAATCATTCATTTACAGATATTTAAATTGCTTTCATAAAAATTCTGGGATTTATTTTTTTGATGTTACTTGTTGATTTGTATCAAATATTCTAAAAAACAATTAAAGGAACGAAAAAAATCTTATTCACCTGTGTAAAGATCTTTTAGCTGCTGGAGGAATAGATGAAGTGCCAATAGAGTGTTCGGCTTCAGTGTCGCTAGGAGACTGTGTTTCTCGTAACTCCCTCTCCTCTTCAGATGGTAGCGCTGGTAGCTATGAAAAATCATACAAGACACATTTAGGTACAGACAATTAATGTTTACGACTTCCAAGCCCTTATTTTAATCTTAGTAAAAAGTTAAATTACTGTCATTGACAACTCGTTGTGTCTATAAAAAAATATTTTTTTAAAAACTTTATTTTTAAAACTCAGAAACTCTAGTTACTCTTTTAAAAGGCATATTTTAAGAATTTAAGAATTTATTTATCTTATACATACATTGCTTTATGATAAACTTACTTTAACTTAAACTTACTTTAATTAACTTTAACTTAACTTAATTTAATTTAATTAATAATAATAATAATAAACTTGCAATAAGCTTAAAGCTATGTATTATACTGAGAGACTGGTGCTTGAAAAAGGTTGGGAAAACCTGTTATTACAAGTCACCAGTCCCTCTTGAACATAGTGTTGCAAAAAGTATTGCTAATTGCTAACAAGTCACTAAAAACGAACGAAAATAAATAATTTATAAAAATATATAAAAAAATAAATAAATAAAAAATAAAAAAATTGTAAAAAGTGAAAGCATTTGTGAGTGTGTGTGTGTGAGTGTACGGGTCAGTGTGAGTGCGTGTGCGTGTGTGAGTGTACTAAATTCAGACTAGTGTGCGCGAGAAAAACGTTCCATTTATTAAATTAAATTAGAGGTCGTAATAGATTTTCTGTGCTTTGGTAATCAAGCGATTTGAGATATTTAGTTACTACTTTTTTACAATTGTATTTTGTGAGATGATAAATTTGAAGGTGTTTGTTGAGTTTATTGTATAAATGGGTACCTAGGAAGCAATACGAACTATGGGAGAGAGCTGTTTTGAAGAGTTGAGGACGGCATACGGAATCCTTTCTACGCCTTCCATCTACAAGTTTTTGATCATATTCTATCTCAGAATGCTTTGTAAGAATAGTGTAGAGGATGAAAGTTTGTCTTACGGATAATACATCCCAATCCTTATACAAGTCATCTGTGGGAAAGCGAAAGGGGAGTCCTGCACCTACTTTCAAGATCGCACGATGCGCTCTCTCGACCTCAATGAGATATGTTTTGGCAGCGCCTCCCCACGAGGGTATACAATACACCACCAAAGAATGACATAAGGCATAGTATACCATCCTAAGGACGCTGCGATCAGCGATGTGCTTGAGAAGCTTAAAGACAAAAATAAGTTTCCGTAATTTTAATACCAGGGATTCGACGTGCCTGCTAAAATTTAATTTTTGATCGATGTCGACACCAAGGTATTTGAAGTGGTCAGTCCTTTGAAGATTAGGACAAAAGATCTGGGAGATATTGCAGTTACAGTTTGGTACATGAGCGTATAAGGCCAGCGAAGGAGGTGGAAGTTGATTTGATCTCCTGGCAAAAGTCATAAATTTAGTTTTAGATACATTTAGCGTTAAGATATTGTGATGAAGCCATTTGGATACTGTTTCAAAGCCAATCTGAGCTAGACGAAATACCTCATTCCAGTTGTCTCCACTGAAGAAAAGCGCGGTATCGTCAGCAAAGGTGAAGATTTTGCCCTGCTGTAGGTTAAGCTGGCAGAGGCCATTTATGTAGATTAAAAATAGGGTAGGACCGAGGATGCTGCCTTGAGGAACGCCAAACTTAACCTCACACTCATCACTAACATGGTTTTCGACCTTGACTCTGTGTTTTCTATTACTAAGATAGTTTGTTAGCAGTTTTAAAGGTAAACCACGAATGCCAAGTGTTTCTAGTTTAGATAATAAATGTGGGATGGAGACAGTATCAAATGCTTTGGCCATATCAATAAAAATAGCCAGACATTTCTTTCTGTCATCTAATGAAGAAACCGCAGAGTTTACTAGGTCTTGTACAGCACTGCTTGTGGACTTTCCTCGACGAAAACCAAATTGGGAGCGCGAGAGGAGTTCATAATTTTCAAGGTACGTTGTCAGTCTGTTATTAATTAGACGTTCTAGAATTTTAGACATTACGGGCAGGATAGAGATAGGTCTGAAGTTCTCAACGCGATTTTTTTCACCACCTTTGTATATGGGTTTGATGACAGCTGTTTTGAAAGAATCCGGAAATACTCCTGTGTTGAAAGCCAAGTTACATATGTGAGTTATGATAGGTGCTAACTGGCACTCGTATCTTTTAATGAACGAACCAGAAATTTGGTCAAAACCTACTGCGCAATTATCCCGCAGGCACCTAATAACTTGAGCAACTTCGTATACATTAGTAGGTAACAAGGCAAATGAATTAAGTGGAGAATTAAGAGAGGATTCTGAATTAAATGTAGGCAAATTAGGGTCATTGTACGGGTTTTTCTCTGCGAGGTTTCTACCTACGTTGGCGAAAAAACTATTAACTTCATTGACGGACTTATTCGGATTAATGGTAGATATAAGACATGGAGAATAATCAGTAGGCTTCCTAGAACCACTTATTTCTTTTATTACTTCCCATAGCTTTTTTTTATCATCCTTAGCAGCTTGAAGCTCTAGTCTCTCGTAATTTCTTTTAGCCTTTTTGATAAGTGACGTACAGAAATTTCTATACCGCTTGTATGATATAATGAGAATGTCGTTTGTGGGGTCTTTTTTGAGTTTTTGTGGAGGTTGTCTCTGTTTCTCATACATCTCAATAATTGAGGGGTTATCCAGGGTTTCCTAATAGATTTTCTTCGTGGGATTTTAGTTAATTTCGTGTTTCTTTGCAAGGCCGAGGTAATAAAGTTAATCAAAAGGCTAGTAGCAATATTTACATCTTTACATTCTAATATGTTTTGTAAATTTAGGCTTATTATATCTTTATCTAACCCTTCATAATCGACGCGCTTAAAATTTTTATTTTGAAATTGAGGGGGTGATCGTTGAGCAATGCTGAGTGCAACACTTTCGTGATCAGTAATTGATGATTCGAATATTATGCACTTAGCTATTGATTTAGTTTTTATCATCATGTGGTCCAGGCAAGTTTTACCGTGGGTGGGTACGGAATTACCTTGAAGTATGCAATGACTCGCCAACATGTTTAAATATTCATAAGAACGTTTGTCGGGACTACTTGAAACAATGTCAATATTAATATCCCCACACAAGATTATGTTTTTAAAATTTTTTACCCGAGTAAGAAGTTGGTTGAGAGAATTAATGAAATCGAAGGTATTGTACACACTAGGCGGGCGATATATGGCAATTATACATGTATCACTGTTTATTTTAATCATGAGGCAGTTTGCATCACTAACTTTGGGTTCTTCGTGGGTAATTTTCAACTGCTTGCTATAATATATGACAATACCCTCATTTTGCGTTTTGTGTTCAGTTGTCGATACATAGTTATAGTTTACAAGGTTAGGAATTGGTCTAGTTTGAGATAACCAACATTCAGTTAAGACTATAAAGTCCCACGGAATTTTAGATCTTTGTAATAAGGTTGAGAGATTTGGCATATTACAATTAATGCTACGTATATTTTGTGTCAGAATATTTAATGGGTTATTGGAATTAATTATGTATTTATTTGCGTCATCTACATTACATACGATTTGCTTGGCTACTTGTATAGAATCTAGATCAATGTTTACTGAAGGATTATTCATTTTTACGAACTAACAGACGAAATGTTAAAAATAATATTGGCAAAGTCACGGATAATAATCTACGTGACTTTAGAACCACAATGAAAAAATAAAAGTAATACAAAGATTTGATATAAACGTTGATATCGATAAGTAGCCTTAGTGTGAAATGTGACATAGTCATGGTAGGGTAAAGAGAGAGGTTTAGAACTGTTTTGAGCGGCAGAGTGGAAGTGAATTTGTTTGTTTTGTAAGCCCGTGTATTATATATTGCATATATATATATATACAATGTGTTGAACTGTATATATATACAAACAGTACATTTTGTGTTTTGTGTGTGTGTTTTATAGGTGATGAGTAGATTGTCAATAAGTAATATAAAAAGTAGTATAATTTTTTGTTATTAATGAATAATATATATGAAGTTAATGCATGCAAAGTAAGAATAGTTAATATACATATACATACACAATACTTTAAATAAATTAATAAAATAATTATATTTAAGTCCTGTGGTATCATTTGATGGTCTTCATAAGTCAAACAAATATTACCCTGGGTACAGAATAAATAAATACTTAAATGTAAGTAAATTAGGCTGTGACTTAAGTATATAAGTTTATGCATACCAAAGAACCAATAAATCAAATTGAATACTACCACAACATACGCATCATTAACAGAAACAATTACCGATGGCAAAGTATAGACAGTATACAATATTAAATCAAAGAAAGACACACTACCATTAATCTTTGCCACATGTATCAGATACACTAGGGATACTCCCAAACACACGCAGAATGTCGGCTTCAGTACGAAAAATATTTATCTTAGTTGTTTCTGTGTGCCTAGCAAACACACGACCCTCCTTCGTCCACACAAATCTCCAACGGTGTTCCTTACATTTCTCTCGTAGCTTACCATAAAGCAAGCGATTGGCCCTTGTTAACCTCTCATTGATATAAATCGGCTTCGGGGCGTGTGATGGAAAGCCAAAATCAGCTGTTGATAAGTTACGTTTTACTCTAGCCTGTTTTAAAAGATCATTTCTAATGGAATGGCGCACGAGTCTCACCGCAATCAGCCGGGGACGGGAGGGACGGGTAATGATTTGCGAGCCGTCCGAATCATTGTTAGTTGGAGGTTTAGCACCGACGCGGAGTACACTAACTATATCGCGCTCCTCAATAATGACTCCGAGCTTCTGTGCGGTAGTAAGAACGAGGTGCACCGGGGACTCATTAGGAAATTCCGGGATACCAGATATTTCAATGTCGTTGAGTAAATCCATTTGGCAGCGTTCGTTTAACTCATATCGCAATTCTGTAACAGTGGTACTAAGACCTGAGGTATTTTGTGACGAGAGTTGCTTGCGTACAGTGTTGAGTTCAGCCCGCAGTTCCAAATTATCACTTTCAAGTGCCAGGATTCTCCCCATGTGAGTATTTAATTCATTTTTATACTCAGCTAATTGACCGGACAAAAAATCAACCGTTTGCGAAAACTCCTTTTTAATCTCGGTGAGAGCAGCACTTATGTTCGATTCCAGAAGCACTTTAAGCTGTTCATACGTTACTGGGCTAGTTCCGGTGTGCGAAATGCTATTTGATGATGCACTGCTTTCCGGAGAGGACTCCAATAATTGAGTCTTAACGGGTGTCTCGTCACCTTTACGCCTTGCCGTGACATTCTGGCAGCAGGGGCAAATCCAAGACTGTTTTAGTTTTGTTATATATTTTTTAAAATGTATTGGAGTCATGTTAATGCACTTGTAATGATACGCTGCCCTGCAGGGTGTGCAGACCAATAGGTCTTCATTTTTCACTGACTTATTACACGCAGCACAGTTCATATTGAAAAGTTAATTTATACAGTTACATATATTCAAACCTGCTCTCAGTATCAATGCTATTATGGTTAAATAGCAAGTACACATTAATTTCACACTGTCCAACAACAAAAGAACTATAAAAAAACTTATTTTTCCTACCGAACTATCAAAACAGCCGTTTACACTTGAGACGCAAACTACCCTCCAAAAATAATATTAAAAATGATGATTTGCTGATGAGTTTCTTTTTACAAATGAGACGTATTAAACCTACAAAATGTTAAGTTAAACGTTAGACCCAATCTTTAATCGTCGAATAATTAAAAACATTGAATTAAAAAGCATACCATTTCGAAAATATCACTTAAATAAACTCAGTTAAATCTGGCAACACTATTAATACTTACATCATCTTTCATTGTGGAGGCACCGGCGTTACTTGGTCGACTTGACGCAGGTTGTATTAAACTATTTGTTCTGAAATTTTTTAATTTAAATATTTTTTTTAAATTTATATGATATAGAAACATGTTCAGGTTCAGATAAATACTATATAGAACTAGCAGACCGGCCAAGCGTTGCTGTGGCTAAGGTTTTTGTTATATTACATAGTAGCAAACTATTCAAGGGAAACGGTAGCAGAACGGACCACCATGCTTTTTTGGTGGTTATGCCATTAAATTGTAGCTTATGTGAAACGTTGGTACATTCAACACAGCGCCATCTGTTAGAATTGTGACTATCAAATAATAAACAAATATTTTGCAATAAAATAATATTGCGGGTATAAATTGAGATGTAAGCTATCCTATCTTTTAAGTTAGATCAAAATGCACGTCACGGTGTGTAAATTTGATTGATATCGGTTCGGTAGTTTAGGAGTCCATAGTGTCCAAACAACGTGACACGTAATTTATATATATTAAGATAAAAAAATAATATATTTATAACTTTATATTTTCTACCACAGCATATCTACCATACCTTGTCCTAGGATCTGATAGAGCCATGAAGTCCTTGTGGAAGTAATGGACTTGCATAATAGTGATGATCAAGAAGAGAGTGGGCGTCAACAATTTGACGAACAAGTCCGCAGGGTGATATGTGTCTAGGCCGAGGTCGTGTTGTCTGTAAGAGAACAGATTTCCAACAAAAATATCAGCGAATATATCTATACTAAAGCTGAAGAGTGTGTTTGGTTGAACGCGCACAATTAAAGGTTCGAATCTAAAATCCTTTAACAATGAATACTAAAAGCTTTATAACAAAATGCTATCGAATAAAAGTGCATGAAACACTGCTAGTATAAGATGTGGCTGTATTTGATTTATATTTTTATTTAGATCATTTTATAATAACGTATAAATGGAGCCGTCCTTATAATGTGGACACGATCAGCAATAAAAAAGGAAGAAAATTAAACCAAACAAAAAACAAATTATAGAAACCAAATTTTTAACCGTTTAATAAATTTAAAAAAAATGACAGCACACACAAATTGTTTAGGATTCAATTGCTATAAAAGGTACAGGTATAAAGATATTGAACCTTGTTTAGCCAACTGACCAATTACAATGGGAAGGTAATATGTAAAGTCGTGTTAAAACTTACAATCTTTCGTTGATCATGAGGTAGGTCTCAATCATTTTGGAGAAATTATCAAACTGGTACACGTATATGAGTATTAAATTGATCATAGAGTATATTATCACAGTTATCCAAAATATATACATCAGTTTTCGCCACAAGTACCAACTTATCTGGAAAATTTTATAATTAAATAATTGAGCGTAATTCGCTTCCTCACACAACAGAAATAAAACCGTAAACTACCGACGATGATCTAGATTAATTATAAGAAATAACAGAGTCACTATTATCTGGAAATATCAAGATAAAATAACAAAGTATTTAAAATAATGAGACTGAATTATGTATCTTAAAAATTACATTTGTAACGGAATTAGATGCTCCCCGATAATTGTAGTTGCGAACATATATGGCAGACCTATGTGTGAATACTGGGACACATTAGAAGAAACATCGCCGGCGTTAGAGATATTTTTATGAGTTTTATATGCACACAATTAATGACGAAAATAATTTTATGTTTACAAATATGAAAATCTTACCTGGAACATAAGTATAAACCCAAGGAATAGGAACATATAAATAATTCTGAATATCGTCATCCGATCACCAGTGATGCCAATCACGAATAGCATTATGACCACAACGTATATCCAGTACCGGGCGCAAACTGCGCGCAGCCATTCACCCAACGCCCTCAAAAGACGCGAGCGACTCTCTTCTTCGCGTTCTCCTTCAAGTGCTGGAAAAGATAAAACATTAAGCTCTGTTACTTCTTATAGCAATTCTTCAGCATCGCTACAGGTAGAGTTGCATAGTTCTTCTTTCAGACATATTTTTTATTGCTATAGAGAAGGTGCAGTATCATGATGATTTTGTGATATGATTCAAGGTAAAGAGGAAAAAGGGAAAGCTTTGTAGATTTATTCTAATTTTAAAGAGAAGTTTGAAACGGATTCCGTAATCGAATTGCATTAAAAAGAAAAATGTGATTATAAAGATTCGTGTAAAGTTATGTAAAAAAATTGACTTTGTGTGTAAATGAAAATTTTATTCTTTATAAAACTTTTAACTCAATGTTTACCATTTGCAAGACCTGTTATATAAATATTGATTAATTTGACGGCAAAATTAAATATTTTTTAGGTCGTTAACGTGTACACGTCCAAAAATATATTTAAAAGTTACACAGGAGTATTCTGGAGAGAAAGTACCCTAGTACTGTAAATATTTAAGACATATATAATTCCATTAATTGATGAGGGAATAGAGCTGATAACAATAAAATAAAACATTACTCTTAAGGCATAGGGTCATTCATCAAAATCAAATTGTTTAGTTTATAAATAAACGGATTTTTATTGAAGGTATAATAGTAAAAAATGTTTTTAAGAGTTTATTTTGTTAAAAATAATTATATCTTAGAATTTATAAGTACCCTCGAGGTAACGTTAAAAATTCTGGTTTTACACTTGCCGAAAAATATTTTTAAAACCATTTTATTAAATTCACATTACCACTAGCAGCAGTAGATACAGTAAGTTGTAATGGTGCAGCGATATCCGTAATGGCTGAGGACTGTCTCCTCTGTCGGATCTCTTGTATGCGCTGGCGCAGGGTCACCCAAAACATGCAGGTGAAGATCGATTTTATCAAAAGTGGCACACACGGTTCACCGTCCACTCTGCCAAGGCCTATTTGGATGAGATTCACCTCCTGCAATATGAAGATTTAAATATGAATTAACAAGTGTAAGCTATTTCATTTAAGTAGGAAGAAATTTTTGTAGGAAAAGGTAATATGATGCAAAATAATTACACTTTTTGGTCACTCTAGGTGACACTCTATATATAGGTGGCAAAAACCGGTTCATTTGTTTAGTAGCAAACCTACTTCAATATAAACAGCCTAGTACTTGACAATAAGCCATACTATGATTTAAAAAAATAATGTACCGAAGTCACCTTTTCCAGCAAGCCAAAACTCAAACTTACTATTTTATAAACGAGTAATTTTTATCTATCGGTTGCGTGTAATACTAACATTAGGGTAAGTTTAGGGCTAGTATTTCAATTCAAAGATATTCAAAATCTATAAGTAGTAGTATAAGTATTTACACACTATTCTATGCCTTCTATAAATTTCGTGAATATTTAAATTTATACTAACCGTAATATTAGACGGTAGCTCACTATCAGTCAAATCCATTCCGTAAATATACTGAGCTAGAAGTAACAGCATGGCGTATATCACCAGAACTGGACTGGTTTTCAGCATAAAGGACCTCTGGTCCTGGCAAAGCCAGACTATATTTGCCCACATTAAAAACACGAATGTCAGCCACGAATGGAACATAATACTCCACGCCATCATTGTTATTGTTGTTGCTATATAGGAAGACCTGCAATATGCAATTGTGGGCATTATTGTAATGCATTAAGAGTGGTACTTGCCTAACCGCTAATGTGGAAATACCTTTAATAAAATACACTCTGCCGTTTAGCGCTAAGGGCCAGTTTTTAGATCCGTAGTTAAAAATGATATAACCATTTGTTACACTAACTATAGTTAAATGACTAACCAGTAGTTAAATCGTAAATGCGTTTTTCAATTCATCACTAGATAGTAATAAACGTATCGCAGCTTGATTTCTGTGACAAACAGCTGTTACTATATTAAATAACCAGCGGCCATCTTGTTAACCCTCCGATACTGAGTAGTTAACTTTTTGACTAATTGTTAGATATTTGACCATTAGTTACTCTAACCACGGATCAAAAAATGCATTTTGCTGATATTTAACTAATAGTTAGGGTATTTAACCAATAGTTGCGTTAACTACGGATCAAAAAACCGGCCCTAAGTCTATAAACCGTACGTCAAAATTGTATTGGATTTTGACATGCAGGAGTGAGATTCATTCGCTTCTTAATATCATATCTCGAGTCTGTGCGGAAAGAGAACCGTCGTTATGCGAACTAATATAATTCATATTTGCTACGCGTCATTTCTTCGGAAGTTATATTACATATTACGTATCTAACTGTAAGGCATAAGCGTGTTGTCACCATATGATAAAGGTTAGCACTGCTGCGACGTGAACTCATTCCGCATAAACTCTATGACATATTATTCTCTTTGGTTTCACGCAGGCACACATTTACATTAAACTGATGTTAACGAATATACATATTTTTTTTTACTTTACTAGACATTTCGGCAGACCATTTTTTAATATTATTATTACAAGGGTATTGAAACGTTACGATATTAACACTACTTTTTGGCGCGAAAGTGATGATTACAGAAGAGCTTTAAACATTCTTCATCATTGAAATTCATGAAAACTCAGATTTATCAATAAAAATCTATTTTCGTACGAGACCTTTGAATAATCAATTAACTAACCTAACAAGAACTTGGAAGAAATCGACGACAGCGGCTACTATATCGTCCATTAATGTCGGCTCCTCAATTTCCAACACGGACTCTGTAAAAGAAACACATTTTAAAATTATTTCATGAACAAAGAAAGAATCGCTTTAGAAATAATCTTTTCTTTATATCAATATGAGATAAACAATTTATTATTTATGAGATTTTAAACATAAATAGAAAAGAAAATTAATTTATAAAATTCCACCCGAAACCGATATTTTTGGGAAAATTGCGGACATAGCTAAGTCTATTTAGACTCATTTTACAGGCAATCAAAATAAAAAAAAGATTTAAATTACACTTCTAAAATTACCTTCATCTGGGACTACGACGGATCCAGTAGAGTCTTGGTGCAGCTGCCGTGAAACCGAACCTGACCTCACACTGGACCATCTCTTGCTCGGACTCCTTGTTTTGATTAACTAAACAGAGCCATCAACACACGAACGTAAAATAGCAGTTTAGTGACGAAAACGTGTACTAAAATTTTCTATAGAATTTCGGATCTTTCATTAAGTATAAACTCTCCGACTCCAATTATTAAAACAATAACTAACCTTGAGAGAACCCTTGACAGTTTAGGATTTAAAGCTTTGTATAGAGTCTGGCTAATGAAAGAAGATGACGAAAAAGCGCGGCAAATTAAAAAAATGTTAGTATGGTATCCCTAAAAGTTTGATATATTTTGTGGATTAAACTTACTTGATACTTGATTTTATTTTATTATTTTTTATTTTGATAGTAACTGTATTTTTAAATTAAATACTATACGTATTTAGTCTTTTACTATTGATACTTAAAACGACTAGCATTGCATGGAAAACTAAAACTATATTTATTATAAAACACAACTTTATTCGAAATAATCAAATCCTGCGAAAGAAACGAAATATTCTATCAAATAAAACGAAGTTTAGGCTATTATACCTGTTAACTATTCGGAAAAAATATATAATAGAAATAAAAATGAGTAATTGCATGAAGTATCACGGCATTAAATCATACTAACTTAAGAAATTCAATGACATTCTGTGCCATCCAAAAGTTTTCAAATAATTCAATTATCTTCTTTCATTAGCCAAACTCTATCTACAATTACGAAATGGCCATATCATCAGTTCAATGTAATTTATAATTTTTTTACGTTTACAAAAGTATATATTCTATTTAAAAAACATATCTATCAACATCTATTTTGATTAACTATTATAATTTTCTAGTGCAACACACATGCAGACATAGACAACAATTAATTAGCAACACTGATATTATTTACGAGTGACGCTAGCACGATTGTCATAAAGCAAAAGCAGAGCTGACCTGAGTTGTCTTTAGACCCCGGTAATGAAATTTATAAAACACTTCAGCAATTATATATCATTATTATCTAAATCCGACAATCACCGATGATAAATGCATTTATAGAAAAAGAAAACATTATACCCACAGGAGCAGTCTCACTGTTGTCCCCGCTCAATGCTTGGGAATTTATGTAGGAAAATGCAACCTATAAATGAGAAAATAGGCTGCAAAAATAAAAATTGACTCAAAAATGTAACGTGTTAGTAAACGCCATGCCTTGCTTTAGTGCCAACCTTTGTGTTTATGTGCTGTGTAATCATAATTTACAACTCCAGTACTAATCTATCTACAGTACACCAGCACTACACATGAGTTTGTAACAACGTAAAAATAGAATTTAAAAAGGGTGCGTGTACTTATGTACGCGCGTAAGAAGTTATACTTCTTTGGCATTATTAAAAATAGTTTTTGATTGCATGCAAATAATTAATTGCTATTAAATAATTAAAGACTGGAAATGGAGTCATTATAGTCAATAAAGTTCGGTTTACATTTGAAAAATTAAATAAATAAATATTTATTATTATTCTCTTACATTAAGTGTAACATAAATTCTATTATTATTAGAATGTTGTTTTTAAATTATGTCCAATGCCGTAGCATCTTCCGTGGGCAACTTCATTCTGTTAATTTTGTGTCACGGTGCGCACGCATCGTAACATTTCACTATCATAAATTTTTCATAACGCGCCTAAAGAAGTATAACTTCAAAAAAAGATTTGTATGTTTAGATAAAACATCTTTATGAAATATTAAAAATAACTAGGATTTTTGCTGAATATTTTGAAATTACAAACTCAATAGCTAGAAATAAATACATAATAGTGCTATCTACATCAGTGCTATGAATGTCACATGGGGCGGGCTTACTCTGACTTTATTAGTGGCACTCTTCCATTTCTCCTTAGGAGCGTATCGGCTGGCCCGATGGAAGGACACACCCCTTAATAGGGACCCGTTCACTTTTCCCGCTTCTACGCCAGTTAAGGCACTCTTTTTCTTCGCCTACGCCCCGTAATTAGTTTGAAAAATGAGCGTATGCGTCGTAACAGCACCTCAGCCTAAGCCCATGGGCCATAGATGGCGCTTATTGCATTCGTATACTTATTAATAGATCACAAAATTACGCTAATTAAATGAATTTAAAGTTCAGTACATTTTTAATAAGGTGAAATAATTTGTTCGACATACAGTTAGGACAGCAGAGTTTCCATAAACCACAGTTTAACGTAGTAAACGATAAGGTTTACATTTATTTTTTCCATTTAACCACGACTGTAAAAGCCCTATTGAACCTTTAATAAAAATCAAACGCAATAAGCACTTATGGCGTTCGGGTTAGTGTAATCTACGTAGCAAAACTACGAGTGTTAAATGCCACTTCCGTTCCAAAAATCCATTTCCAAAAAGCTAATGACATAGACTTAAAGAATGAATTGAGCGAGCTCTCTTTTTCCTGCAGTTAATGTTAGAAGGAGACAACATGCTGATATTCAGATAACTTCCATAAGAGGATGGGTATTATTAATATTTCCAGTAATCGAGTGATATTTATCTCTTATCTTAATTGAAATGATATAACAATATATTGCTCAATCATTCTCTAGTCTATGAAAACTATTAGTCGGTTAAAGAATTGAATTCAAATGCAAGAATTAATTTAAATTCATACCTTGGGTTTGAAGAGTTCCCTAGACTCTAATGCGAGAAAGAAATACGAAAAGAGTATGACTAGAGGACTCGCTAGAGTTGCCCATTTGTAATCTTCTGTAACTTCGTATACAAAGCTCGAAGAA